AACGAAAGATTCTCTCTCTGTGGAGTGATTCACAAAACAACAAAGACCTTTATCACAACCAATGAACTGTAATTCTGCATCAATAATGTCATCGATTCAATCATTCATTCAATCATTTGTTCATGCTTTTAGAACTGTTTAACGCATGATTGATTGATTGATTGATTGATTGAATCGATGCCTATTTTGTATACTCTTTCATAATATGAATCTATCAAACAACAAAGCAAATAACAACAATAATAACGACAATGAATTTGTTAAAATGGCACAGCAACAATAATAACAGTAATAGAAATCAATGAGAATAATAATAAGATTATGTGTTCAAAAGCAATGTCTAAAACAGAAATGAAATGAAATGAAATGAAATAATGAGCAGCAACAACATAATAGGAACGAACAATAACATGAGTAATAATCCAAATAGATGAATTATGAACTCAATGCAGTGTCCGATATCGAATCAATACCAAATTGATGTAGAACAAACAATGTGTATGTGAATAACAGGCAATAATGAGAATAAGAACAGTAAAAGGAATAAGAAAAAGAATATCTGAGAACAATCCATAGCTATTGATGATTAATAATAATAATAATAGTAATCATCACAGAAAAAGATATTGAAACAATCATATGTGTAGTTTAATAAAGAAATAAGGAAAGAACCAAATCCATGATAATAATAGTCATATTATTGGAAATATGACTATTATTATTATAATGGATCAATCAATCAATCAATCAATCAATCAATAATACTTACTGATCGATTCTGAATAATAGATCAATTAGATTGTTATGTGGAATGATCGAAATGAAGAACAAACTCGATATGTGAAAACAAACAAATACCAAGAATGCATATCAATATCAAACAATCCACATAATTGAATGAATCTATGTGAATCGATTCAGATTTCAATATAAATGAAGAGAAGATCATTTGATTGTCGGTTTTCATGGAAAGATTGATTGTTGTCACGAAACATCAATCCGATTGATTTGAAATGATTTCGTATTGTAGGTTCTGATTATTGATTAAATCATTTGATAGATAGTTTGGTCCATTGCAAACTACAACTACTACTATTGTTGTTGTTGCTGTGGATGTTGCTGCTGCTATTGTTACTTCTCTCTTTCTCCCCTACCATTCATTCATTGATTCCAAACCATCAAAATCGATAACAATATTCCTTGTCAACAAAAGAAGAAATGGAATCAATGAAAGCAAAGAATCAAGTGTTTCCTTTATGGCAATCAATGATCCATTAATCTATGAATAAATGAATGAGTGATTGAGTGATGAAGGAAAACAGAATGAATGAATGAATAAGAAGGAAAAACAATGTGTGTCATATGATATCGGATACTGGAAGGTAGGGGAGAAAGATGGGATGATGATGATTCAACTTCATTGACACTTCGAAGTAACAATGAATTGATTGGTTATGATTTGTTTTGGATCTTCCAAGTCTAACATCACTGACTTCTGTATAATGGAGTTTCTGTTGTCCTCGTTTTGGTGACATTGGAAAGTGGATCTCAATATTGAATAGAGATGGTAATTAGATATTCCAAATCTGTTTCAAAATGTCAATCTACTTGTATCATTGGGGTATGTTCAATCGAAATCGATTCGAGTATTGTTGATAAATAGAATGGAATTGATTTCATATGATTTTCATAGATTTCAATTCCATTTGGTAAGTTTAAGCTTATCTTATCTTATCTTGTTAGGTGATTTGATTTGAATTGATTCATTGTGTTTCATTCTATTCCGTTTGATCATTTGATTTGATTTGATTTGATTTGATTTGATTTGATTCGTTTAATAGGAACACATTTCGATTGATTATGATTGGAACAATTCTATCTGGTTCATTTTACAATGATCTGTGGAATTTGTATTGTTGTTTCAAACTGATGGCACATGATTGATTCGATGATTGGTTAAAATGGATATATAATAATAATGATAATGATAAACAGAAAACAAACAGAAATAAGCAAAACAAAACATGGAACAATCCAAACAAATAATCACATATTTCCTTATGAGAATTGAATCAATATGAATCGACACAATCCAATTTGTTTGGTGGATAGTGAATAATAAGATGATTGTTAGAATATACAAAAAAGGGAATAATAAAGAATACAAAAGAAAATACAAAAAAGAAAAACTAAAAACAAATTAGAATCAAAGAATACAAAACAAAAGAAAAGAAAAACGAAGAAAGAAGAGTAATAAAATGCCCAAATATAAGAAAATAAGAAACAAAGAAAACTAAAGAATAGCAAAACAAACAAGAATAAAATAAAAATCAAAATCGAAAATGAAATAATAAAATGAACTACAGTGAATTCCAAAAGTTGAAAAACAACAACAACAACAACAACAACAACAATATCAAATGAAAAATGGAATAATCAAAAATAGATAAGCAACATCAAAACAAAAACAAAACAAAAGAAAACAAAAGAATAATGAATCATTGGGTATTATCCAAACTAATACTATCTCAACAAACAAATATGGATTGTGTCGATTCCTATTGATTCAATTGGATTAAGTGCAATGAATCTTGTCAAAACGATTCGATTGAAGTCGTTCAATCAAGATTCATTCGAAATATGTGATTTGTGGATTCATCGGTGTACAATCACAAACAGCATATTGAATATACAATCAAACAATGGATTCCAAGAAAGGCCATTATCGAAATACTCATATTCAAACCACAACACAAATGGTTCTCACAATATACCTCATTATTGTATTGTGATTATCAAATGCTGATTCCATATTGACTTGTTCGAATGGGATCTAATGATTTGAATGATATCAATAACAATGATAATAATAATGATAATGATCAGAAAGAAAGAAAGAAAGAAATAAGAGTATTGTTATGCAATACAGTACAATGATAGATTCCAGCTAATACAATGATCGAACATAATGATTTCATGAATCTCGATCGATTCAATTGCAAAACAACCATTGACACTACAATGTGTTTGAGTGATTGTTCCATTTGGATTCGATCGAATCAATTGGATAATTCTATCAGTCGATTGGATCGCTATCAATGAATCATTCGATCGATTCTATATCATTGATAATCGAACAAATACAAATACAAATACAAATACAAATGATAGTAATGACGAGGATTGATGGTTGAATACTCATCATCAATCTGATTCTGATTCTGATTGATCGATCCTATCCAATCATTCTATTCATGATCAACAATACCAAAGTGATCTAATGGTATTCAATATGCTGAAATAGACCGATGAATAATGTGGATGATGATACAATCATAATGATGATGAATGGATATCGAAAACTAACCAAATACACACCATTCATTCATTCATTCATTCATTCAATGGATCAATGGATTGAAGAGCCTTTCTATTCTTATCAGTATTATTGAGTGTGAATGATGCATTGATTCTTTACGATATTCAACATTCATTTGCATTTTGAATCAGCTATCTTTCATCCATTGATTGATTGAGTGATTGAGTGAATGAGAGGTTTGTGTGATATTGAAGAATACGACATTCCATCCAAATATCGAATTGTGAAACCACGATTGATATTACTACGAACTACAACTATCAAGTATCAAACACATCCGATTTGATTCCATTATTATCAAATTGATAAATCCATGTTTTGTGACTCATTGATAAACAAACAAACAAACAAACAAACAAACAAATGATAGTTGGATTGATTGAATGGTGAATCCAATATGATTTCCAATGCTATTCAATCGGATTCTATTCTTTTCTATTCTAGTTTCATTACCTTGTTTTATCCATTTCACCTCTATTTAAGTCTATTCTATTCTATGTATACAGTGATCGATTCCTATTCAATAAGTCAAAATCAATATCCTAATTCAATATCAATCATTGTATTGTATTGTATTGTATTGTATTATCTACCGATTTAACAATGGATTCACAAATGTGAATAATCATCCAATATCAATCGATTCCAACCATTCCATTGTGTCATTATCAAATCCAATCTTATTATTCATGATGATAATGATGATGATTATGATTATTCGAAGCAAGCAGTTTCCTATCAATATTGAACAAATCCTAGTTCAAACCTATTCAAACCATCATTTGTATATTATTATTATTATTATTGGTAGATTGGATTCATCATTTGTGAATGTTCAATATGTGATCATTGGCTCATTGGTAATAATAACGATAATGATGATAATGATCGAAAACAATGATTGATTGATTGATTGATTGAAACAACAATCATAATTCAGTATCATTGTTAAAATGGTAAAGAAGAACATCATAATAATCAGGTAGGATTGATATTTTGATAATTATAGAATCATGAATTGTGATCAAGAATCGGTTTGAAACAAACAAACAATCAATCAATCAATCAATGGAAATGTTCCTAAACAATGACGAATCACTGAACAAATCAAATCAAATCAAAATTATAGATTTAATGCTTGATTTTGACAAGATCAGCGAGAATGGAAGAAACATCTATGAATCAAATCAAATCAATCAAACTATACTCGAAATTGATTTCGATCGAACTTTCCGGAATGAATCAGGTAGCTTGACATTTTGAAGATTTGGAATATCTAAATACTATCAATATTCAATATTCAGAAATACTTGCCAATGTCACCCAATAAGGATATTCGAAACTACATAGTTCAGAAGTTATTGATGTTAGATTTGGAAGATCTACAAAACAAATCATTTCAAATCAACTCATTATTACTTCGAAGTATCAATGAAGTTAAAACATTAATAATTCCAGCAAGTGTCCAATAACCGAGTTGAATGGATTGTAATGATGGAAGATCTACATCAATCATTTCATTCGAATTCATTCAATACTTTCAATTATTGTTGATAAGGAACACTCGAATGCATAATCACCTAATGTAATGGATTGTAGATTTGGAAGATCTATGCATCATTCAAATATTCAATATCATATCAATACCTCGAATTACAAACGAACTACTGAAGAAATTGTTTGAAGTACTTCCAATTGTCCCAATTTGAATGGATTGTAATTGTGGTAGATTCTTCAATTCAAAGTCTCCAGCAAAATCACCGAAACTATATTCACCAATTTGAATGGATTCCAATGATTCACAATTCAATATGTGGAATGATTTCGATTTGTTGTCTGCCTTCCTGCAGTTCCACACGTCAGAACTCTTCATTTGAGAAAATGAATTGCTTCCGATTTTGATCGTTTTCAATCGATTCAATCCATCGATTTTGAATGTTTGCACTGATTCAAAACAATCATCGCTAATTTGAATAGATTGTAATTGTGGTAGATTCTTCAATTCAAAGTCTCCAGCAAAATCACTGAAACTATATTCACCAATTTGAATGGATTCCAATGATTCACAATTCAGTATGTGGAATGACTTCGATTCACTATCGCCATTTTCATCCTCCTCTTCATTTTCATATTCATTTTCATATTCATATTCATTTTCATATTCATATTCATATTCATATTCATTTTCATATTCATTTTCATATTCATCATTCTTTGTCTGAGTAAATGATCTATTTCCGATTTTGATAGTTTTCAATCGATTCAATCCATTGATTTTAAATGTTTTCACTGATCCAAAACAATCATCGCCGATTTCGATTGATTCCAAATTATACAACAATGAAACATCCCAATCAACCAATACACAATTGTCAGTCAGTTTCAAATGTTTCATTCCGGTATTCAGTGGTTCTGAGCCATCTCCTTCATAATCGATATCACTTTCAATTCCATTGCACCATTCACATTCATTCACTAATTTACCATATCGATCATACACTTTTCCAATTCCAAATCGCTTATCATCACACCAATATCCTTCATATTCAATACATCCATTATTATGATAACTCGTTCCATATCCAAATCGTTTCCAATTGATCATTATACCCTTGTACACCAATATTCCATCATCATCATACATTTCACCATATCCAAATGGAATTCCAAACTTGTTATCTGTCAATACCAATCCCTCAAATCGACTTCCATGATCCAAATCCACGATTCCTTCTACTACTACTTCTATGGATTGTTCTTCATTATATGAAATAGCACCAATTTGATGATTTCCAAACACTTTCAACACTTTCTGCTCATTGACCACAAATCCTTGATTCATGAATACTCCATTGTTGAATTGCAATACTACACATTCTCTGTTACTCAATATGAGTGAAATCCAGCCATTTGGTTTCATTTCTTTGCCCAAGCATCCCTGCACATTTTGAATAATGGAACTATCAATATGATAGTTACTAATAGCAGAATTGACAAAATCAGCAATGTTTTGCATGGAAATGAAAAGAAATATGGTAAAACGGTTTTTTTGGAAACAAGATCTGTTTCATTATTTCTCGATAGAACACACGTCATAGATTATTGTGTATGGCTGTGATATGCTGGTGTGTTACAAACTAGAATACATATAATAAAATCTCATTTTCTCCACCCATTCCTATTTTTCTTTATTTCGGTGCATTTCCATCTATTCATTTATTTTTGTGTTATTTTCAGATACTTATAGCTTTGATTGTAAATTATTACGCATTTTGATCACCTTTACTCTCTCATGTCAGAATGACTGTTCTATTAAGTCTATAATGGATGTATGTTCTTCAAAATATATCAATTATGTGGTAGTTGATCTTGTTTTGTAACAATCGAACTCACAATAGTGAATACTGTTGGAATGGTTAGATTCGTAATAGAGAATATGGCAGTAGTATGTAGAATGCAAAATCCATCATTTCTATTTGATAAGTGGTTTGTTGTACTGATTCTCTGTTGATACTTCGATTCTCTTCTGTCACAATGATCATCCATATTGAATACAAAGAATGATATTGTAGAGAAAGGAATGTGGTTCATAGATTGAAATGGTGAATAGGAATCATAGTATCATTAAACAAAACAATCGATTGAATAATATGATAATGGATGGAATCCATGAATCCTATGAATGAAAACCTTGCTTTCTATTTGATCAACAAAACAATGTGAAATGCAATGTGATTAACATAGCAATAGTATTAAATAAACAAGTAATATTGAGTGAATGAATGAATATGCCATCCATCATAGAGATCTCTTCCACTCACTTCCACTCCATCTTTCCATTCCACTTCGCGAGTAGCAATCCGAGTTTCTTCATCGATCCAGTATCCTCGACCATTTCGAAGAAACGATTCTTTCGATTCATCATAAATGAATTCACCCACATAGAGGGGAATTCGATTCGAAGCGATGGTGTTGTCACCGTTTCGCTTGAACTCGATCATAATGGCTCCTTCGATCTTGCGGATGATTTCCACCAGCTTGTTACCCTTCCATATCCCCTCGAGCAGCATGGCACCCATTTTATCGTCATACTGGATGCCCCATCCTTCTCTCTCTCGCTTCTCGTTGAACTCACCGTGATATATCAGGTGATCACTCGCATGCGAATAGATTTCCATACGCTCGCCTCGGACATGGTTTATAATACGATGAAAATTCTTTCTGTCCCAGATATCGTCGAAGGACTGCACAAAAGCGACACATCCGTTATCAAATCGGGTAAAGTCACCGATTTCACTCCCGTTCGCATCCAACTCGTAGCACATTTTTAGTATGCCATTTTGGAATAGGCAAACCTTCCCAGCTTTCGTCAACGTGTATTCATCCTCGTGATCGCCTTGATAATATTGGAGGCTATACTTGCAGCCGCCAATAGTGATTTCCTTTGGTTTACCAAGCGTTATGTAACCGTCCAGGAGAAATTCGCTTCCCTTAAGTTCTTCCATTCTACCTATTTATTATCACATATCCTTAGCCTCTACTCTTTGAATCCGTAATTTGTAGCCAAATATAAAGAATTTATGAAGAAAACAGAGAGATCAGTTTGTTTCCTTACACCTAAGTATTCTTCATATTTAAAAATTATGATAGAGTGCTACCATATACACATTGGATCCAAGATTTCCAAGTGAAGTACTCACTTGTGTTTCGCATCATTTTGTTCACATTTTTGTGGTTGAAATAGTTCGGAGGTATAGATATTTATAATAATAGTATCAGGATTGTTTGGAAACACTCAGAATGGAAAAGTCCATTTTGTTGTCTACTATGTCTGTATAGGTTGTATATTTATGATATCATAGTGAAATCGTGTTATGAAGCAAGGATTTGGTTGTTCACTCCACTTTGTCTAAATAGTCTATATTATCATTATTATTTCGATAATCCAATCTATCCATCCATGATTCTAGCCAAATCATTTTGACTTGGGACTGGTTGGGTTTGAAAGCAATTCAAACTAGTAAAACTAGTAAATCAAATCGAATGGAATGGAAATTGGTTTTGATCCAGTGATTTTCACACAAAGAACCTATCTTCGCACATCGTTAACCATTCACTCCATTTTCTATCATTTCCTTATCCTAAACCAACCAACTAACTCTAAATACACTTTCTTTCTATCTATCTATCTTTGTTTCAACTATCAACTCACAGCACTCTATTATTATCAACTAGAGTCGTTTGGTTCCTCGTTCTGGATTATTCTGTTCATGTTTCTAAATCATTCCAACACCCTACACACTCTAAATCTACATTTTCCTTCCTTCCTTCCTAAACACATTTTCGATTCTCATTCAAATCCTACAACGCTTCAACCATTCCACATCTCTACAATTCCATCCATCCATCCATCCATCCATCCATCTTCCAAACCAAACACCGCAACCATTTCTCTCTTTCTTTCTCTCTCAGCAACTGCCAAATCGGTCTGGATCGTGGAAACGTGGAAACATCGCGACCCACGGCGCACCAGGCGTGATCGACGAGGTGGGCGCGGATGAGCGCGTCGGTCACGTCGTAGGCGAAGAGGAAGCGGAGGCGGAGGCGGAGGCGGAGGGGCTGGGGACGGAGACCACGGTGGCGTTCTGCGCCCAGTTGGACAGGAAGAGATCCAGAGAGCCCGGTCGACTCTGCACACCTTCGTAGGGAGCCACGGACCCCACCCCATCGCCCACCAGATTCCTGCTCACTCACACCCACACCCACACCCACACCCAGAGCGAACCGGTGAGCGAGGAGGTTGGCTCGCCGTCCACCACCAACACCCAACGAATTCCGACGTGGCCATCGTGGACACTCCGAATTGCCTGCCCATCCACTCGGCACTGCCCACTTCGCTCGGGACGCACTCCAGCGTGTAGGAAGTCGCGGGGATCCCACCCTCCAACACGTCCCACACATCGCGTCCCGCGGGGAACCAGACGGTTCGGCGGATTGAGGAAGGAGGAAGTGGCGGGAGCGCGAAGCTCGCACGTGGCGGTGCAGAGATCATGGAAGGATCCGGTAATCGCCATCGCACAGTCCCACTCAATGCCCTCCGCCTGATTCCACACACCGCATACAGAACCGCGGGAAACTCCACATCCGCCACGCACCCCAAGCCCAAGCCGCAGACCGACTCAACTAATCCACAGCCTACCCCACGCCCGCCGTGCAGGCACGCTCGATCACGTGTCCCTTGCTGCAGGTGGAAATGGAGGTGTCCAAATGGGGCGTGATGGGAACATGCGTCCGCGGGACAGATGCAGGGTTGTTCATGTTCTTCTATTTGCCGAAGAGGTCGCAGTACGCCCTCCTGGAGTGGAGATGAGTGGAGTGGAGTGGAGAAAAGAGGAGAAGAGAGGAGAGGAGTAAAAAGAAAAATGGAAAGGTTCAAAATAGAATTTAATGGAATAGACTAGAATGAAATATTGGAATAAAAGAACAGCATCGAGACTTCTCAGCGAGTCACCCACACTGGTACTAACTCGACTCGTGATGACTTAGCTTCCTAGATCGGACGGGTTAGGGCGCTTTCCATCAGATATGGCCGTTCTCATTTTATTATTATTCAATTACCTATTTAAACATCACATTCTTATCATCATTCACTCACACTCCATTTCAATTACACTCAATTCTAGTCATTTCATTTCACTTCTCTTCTTCTTTTATCAACAAATCAATTAACTGAATGAATGAATGAAGGAGTGAGTGAGTGAAGGAGTGACTGTATAGTGAATGGATCAATAAAAGTAAATAGCCCCAACACACCTCACTTCACTTCACCCCTCTCTCCCTTCCTTCTGTTTCAAACAAACACTCCCAAAATCACATCTGCACATCGTACGACCCGCTCTGCAAAATCCTCGACACCGACGACGTCCAATTGTACTCTCCCTTCGTGCGCTGCACGTTGATCTTCCCCACTCCCAGTCCGGACACGTTTCCCTCGGGCTGCACGAACCCCACCTTCGCGCAGATCGACGATTCTACCTCCCAGCGCGCCCCAAAACCCCACTCGGAACCGCGGAACCCGGCTGCAGATACACCGGCCCGCGCAGCGTCAGCACGTCTTCGCGCCGCAGATTTCCCGCCACCCACAGCAGTTTCTTCTCCTCCTGGTCGAACATCATCTTCCCCGCGGAAGTCGTCAGATTCGCGCCCGACGTGGTCGGCGGGAGCACGATTTCCACGGTTACCGCCTGCACCATCACCGGGTTGCCCTCCTGTTTCCCCCGTTTCCCCGGTTTGCAGCCCAGCGTCACTTCCAGCGTCCCCCACACTCCGCCTTCCCCGCGGGTCCACGACAGATTCGGGCGGCAGTAGAAGTCCAGCGCGGCGTTGTCCACGCGCTTCACCGCGTACGTCGCCACCTGCATCGCATTCCCGCGGGGATGATTACATCAAAGACGCCGTCGAGCGGAACGAACTGGAGCGTCTGGGAGGAGCGGAGGCGCGCGCGGTCGACGCAGCGGTGCACGCGGAGCGCTTCGATGGAATTCGAATTCTGCAGCGTCAGCGCGACTTCCGGACTCTGCGAGAGATGGCTGTCCACGCGCAGCACGCCGTACGCAGAGCAGGAGGTGAGACTGCCCTTCCTGGAGGTGAGAGGAAGGGGGAAACGGGGAAATACGAGGTTACTGTCGCATTGAGGAATTCGATGATGCTGATGCGGATCTCGTTGCGCATGTAGGACAGGTCGGGGCGGCGCCAGCTGACGGCGTTGTTGGTGCTGCCGGGGAGCCAGGTGTCTTCCGTGTTGAGGTTCTGAGATTGGAGAGGAGGAGAGAAATGATTACGGCGACTTTGGTGACCAGGGCGGAGACTTTGTTTATTACGGTAGGGATTTTGATGATGGACGACATAATCGAGGGCTCGGTGATAACGGGGATACCGAAGTCCGAAACTTCATCGAGAAGCTGTGGGTGAGTAAAGCAAAAAATAAAGGAGGATCTTACTTGATAAACGATGGAAAAGTTCCCTCGTATTTTCACCTCGTTCACTGTGCCAATATACGTCTTCAACACAGAAATGATCTGGGTTATAAAGTCCACGATTAACAGGGGAGAACATTCGCTCTTCACCACTGCAATGAACGAAAGATTGTTCTCTTTTACGACAATGAGCGCACACTCGCCACTTTCCAAAACGGGAGGAATATTCTAGATACGTAATGCCAACCAAAATGGATCCAAACATTACTATCGACGTATTTCGCCAAGGCAGCAAAATAGGGTTCCAACACACTTCTGTCAATTGTCTGCTTCCAATGCTTCTCAATGACGATTTGTTTATCTTCTCCTAGTACAAATAGGGAATCAATCATCTTATGAAGGAGATTACTATGGAAGAGTGTGTCTTGTGTTACCCGGCAACTAGACAAAATATGTCCCCTAAATGCAGCTGACACATATGCCTTATTGGGACATTATTTATTGTATGAAACAACTCGTATTACAAATACTCTTATCTATTAAGAACTCCACAGATCCGGAACATAAAATTCCATTCTCCAGCTGTGACACAAATGAGTAAAATAAACACGATGTAACACATTAAATCTTTAGTTCTACTGAAGCACCACGTTTCACCGCAATTTTTGGATACAAAACCCCATCCACAGTCTGCTCAGGCATCCACACGTACCTTTCAAAACCAATCCACGAATACATCGACTGCTCCACTATGTTGCACGATGTTGTCGGATTTATTCCCTCCGTTTTCTTTATATGCTCCTCCCGAATCGCTTCGTACTGAGCACGCAAATTCGCATCGGACATTTTTGCAAACAGTTCATTCGAGTCCATTCTGCTCATTTAATCACTTCCTGAACCTACCCCACGCCAGGAACGCGGAACAAAAACCCGGAACACAGCATTCCAAATTTCGCGGCTAATTCACAAAACTCCTTTGATCCCCACCCGTATAACGCAGCCGTTCCACCATTTCCACGTTATCGAACCCGCGTTCCACCACCGACTCCGAATACCGCGGGAGAGCCTCCGATTTGCGTGCCATGAAATATCTGCATTTCATCCATCCCCGCGGTTCTACATCTCCGTATCGGAATCAATACAGTTCATGTTCCGCCAATAAATGTACGAGAACGTCCGAAACTGCTAGCCATGAATCGTGGAAACGTGGAACCCACCATGGGAATGGTGCCTGTCTGGATGGGTCGGCAGCGGTACTCCTTCAGACACTGCCGAATCGACTTGTCTCCCCGCGGGGATCGATCGAACTCTCTGCATGGAATACAATTCCGGAAAAAAAAACCTCCAATTGGCGGCAGCTTCGTCGTAGAGGGGATGGGCCCATTCGTACGCGGGAATCACGCCGATAAAGTAGGGGTCGCGCCACAAATACCCGGGCGTCAGTTTCAAAACCGAGTACAAATTCGCTATGAAAATAGAGGCGATTTCTGGAATTGCGTACAGGATGGAACCAAATCGAATTCCGCGAAGACGTAGTGCGTCGTGCGAACGGCGGCGATTCCCGCGTTTTTCATTGCATTGACCGGGGAAACCGCGGTTATGGGGAAGGGAATGACGGAGACCGCGGGGAAGGAAGCGATGCTGGCGAGGAATTGGGTGAGTTGGGATTCCTCGTTTTGGTTATAAGAAACGACAATAACAATCGGGCTAATAATAAAAATAAAGGAGATCGGAAGCAACCCTTCCCATTGACGACAGTACTTCGGAGCTAGCTCGTACATGCTTGCTGATGCGTAGGTAACGAGAGTTATATCGAATGTATCATCAGGATACACTAAAATTGAGAAAGATACATAAGAGAACGATCAAAGGTGTTGGAGGAGCTTTGAACCATTTTCCCATTATTCTGTTGCCTGTCTCCAAATTCATTCTCTGAAAATTTATGAATAAACACTACCCAATAAAATAAGCACAAAAGCATACGAGGACTGTGCTGTATTGCATCAATGTATGATTCAGAGGTAGAGCTGGACTCCTGACTAGTAGAAGGCGAGCGTTTGTTGATGATGTACGAAGTATACTGAATATAAGCTATTTAATTCTGAAACTACATCTCTGGTTAGTAGCAGAGTCGTAGTCATCATGAAACCAATAATCACAAGGGAAAGTACGATTCTAGGTTTATGGGCAATATTAATAGAGTACATGATGTTCTTTAATACTCCTTTCCCAAATGTCATTCTATTTCAAGAGGGGAAAGTAAAAGAATAAGAAATGGAAAGGGGTAATGTATATTTTAGGAGTTGATATACCAAATGACACAAATATGGAGAGTTATATCATGGAAGTAACAGTAGAAGGGTAATGGAGGTTACGACCTAAAAGCATCATATAAGCTGTTAATTTCCGTATAGCCGAATGATATTACTATAAACTAATATAATTGAGGACAAATATTCTTGTAGTAATAAGTGTGTTTGGGGATTGTGGTATAGTACGCCTACTCAAGCAAACAAACCATCATTTTTCAGGATATCTCTGTTGAGGTGTATAATAGTGAGATATGAATAGTATTGTAAAACATACCTCAAATATGGATATATAGGGGTAACATGAGGTTAATGAATGAACTATTTTTATTATTATTTTCAAAATGTTTATGGTTGTGTATGACTTTCAGAGTTTAATATGGATTGTATGAAAGTAAAGAAATCTTGATTGATTGTAAACATCAAACTCTATGAAGTGGATTCTGAAAATACATCATTTCTTTTGCATTTGATGTTAGTACCATTCTATTTGCACAATATGAGAAACAATGGATGAGAAAATGATCGAATTGTGTGTATTATCAACAAAAATAGGGGTGATCATTTAACAAACACCAAAAATAACATCACTCGATTTTCTTCATAATGTTCACGGCAATCAGTTTTAAATACTTCATATCCAATATAGGGGTTAACACCATTTAGGGCAACCATGAAGAAGGTATGTGGATAAACAAAGATTACTGACACACCACATCGTCATAAGATTCACGAAAACACAAATGAGTATCGTGATAGAAAGGATAATTTGAACATCATCTTGGTCTGTTTCAATTAATATCCAAATATATATCAATCCTAATAAGAATAAATAAAATTCATAAGACACTCGCAAACTCTCTATCCTAGAATGTAAAAAATAGCAACAATCGATGTCGGTGCCTTTGCCACTCCCTAATTTATATGAATATTGTTTTTCTTACCTGTAGGGATGTATTTAATATCTGATAACTTTGCATAAGATCCTTTATAGACCTGATAACCATTTTGAAATACAATCATATTATTTCCGTCAAATTTTGTCAATACCTCGATTTCTACTCCGTCCTCCCATCTACTAATTGACCTTATTTTTCCATTTTCGTAAGAATAACAAATTCCATCGTTCAATCCTCTATAATTCTTCTGACATATACATAAGATTCTACCAAAATCATCAACCTCGTTCCAAAACTTTCGATGCTTTTTGTTTTTTTCAATTTTGGGATTCCTTTTACCGTCCTTATAAAAACCATGAAATAGTACTTCACCATTTTTACTATATTCTAGACCACATCCATTTCGATAACCTTTTTCCAAATATCCGTCAAAATATAGTTCTCCGGAGTCATAATATAATCTACATTCACCAGTTTCTTCTCCTTCGTCACAATAGAAATACGCACATAGTTGACCATCCGAATCATAAATTTTGGCTTCTCCATTTAGAAGATTATTGTCATCAACTTCTGCTTTCATTGTATAACCGAAATGAGGTTGTCCAATCAAACAAGTGGCTATTCCATCTTCTGTATTCATTTCTATTATAGGAAATTCGCTAGAAATACAATTATTCCAAATATCTGTTTCAGAACTGTTTCTTTCTGCAGTCTGTTCTTTTGCTTGAGAATCATCTATATTTACAACAATAATTCCAACAGACTCGCTCATACCAATTATTTATAGTTAGAAATGAACGAAATTGATGATAAGCAATGAAAACGAATCCAAAAAGATATATTTGATTTCTTTTTATGTTTACGATTATGAAGAAGAATAGCGGTTCTATTAATGAATTGAGATGTTGTGTAACAATTGTATACAATAATAGAATTAATCAAGTATATTGTGAAGGTTGCAACTCCTTGTTTGAATGAACAGCATTTATGAGAATTTGAACATTAGAACGTGTTTTGAAGTGTATGATAGTGCAAGGAATATATAGTATTAGGAATAATGTAATGGTTATTCCTTGCTCATGTATTTCGTACTTCTAATATGAAAATATTATCAGCAACTGAATATTTCTATTGATATGTGTAAAAATAAGGTTTGGGTGATATTGTGAAATGCATCTAACTTTGTGTATGAGTATAATACCATTTAGATTCGGAGTGTCTGACTATTATTGATTCATATTACTTGTAGTCGTCTTCGATTTCCATAATTATCTGTCAGATTGAATGAAAGTAATGAAATCTTGCTTAATTGTAAACGTCAAACCCTATTCACTAAAATGAGTATTCCCTTTCCTTTCCTTTCTCAAATAGCTATCCGAGCTGTTTCATTTTCCCTATATTTACGACCACTATAAGTAAAAAATACTTTTGATTTCTCATTCACGAATCCACCATTATATAGGTAATTACGATTTCAGATAATGGTGATGCTTCTTTATCCCTAAACGTGGTCATAATGGCTCCTTCCATTATTTAATGGGGTGTCTCCACAAATTTGTTGTTCTTTTATATTCCTTTTAACAGCATTCTGCCCAGTTCTTCATCCTAATGCATTCTCCATTCTTTCTCTTATTATGTATCGAAATATCCGTGCTATGGCATTTTCTACTGTGATTTGAATCGATTTCTATCCTCCCTCTATTAACATGAATAGTAAAGCAACCCAATTATATCTTAGAAATTACACAACAATCAAACACTTATCTTCAAATCAAGTACAATCACCGATTTGATTGGATATGCCGTTTTCTTTGTACATTAACTGTATTATAGCTGAATAACGATTTGCGAGAATACGTTTTTGTCACAGTTTCTTCTATATATAATATTCGTATTCCCTCCATGATTGCTATTCGGTACAACTCTGCGTACATCGCTTTTTTCAAAGTGAATAATTGATCTCTTGCCAGTAGCAATAATAGCATTGTACTCTCTCGAACTCAATGCAATACTCCTGAAGACTAAAAGCAATTTGACCAAGCAACTTTCTCAGATCGATCGATCGATTGATCGATCATTCATACAAACAAACAAAAGACAAGCACTTCACAAGTTTAATATCTATGAGAAACGTAGCATTTGGTGGAATCCCTGCTTTCGCATACCCCTTTTCCCCGTATCCATTTTCAGGACGAATGACGACAATTCTCTCTCCCCCCTCTCTCATCGCTACGACTCAATTCTTTTTGTAAAGAGTACTCCGTAGAGCTTTGTCTACCCCGGGACACACTTTAGCCACCGCAACAGGTATTTTTCGTTTTATGGGAAGGTGAGAACGATCCGCTTTTATATCCGAATTGATCTCTTCTCCACTAGGCAGCTTCAATTTATAGGATAAAAGGACAGTTTGGCCACGCATTGGAACCAGTCCAGAGCCGATTTTCACATCTTTAAATCGGATGTATTCTCCAAGTTGGCTGAATCCACTTACATCAAAAGGATCAAACGAAGGTCCGCTCGGAGGTGAGGTCATGATTTGTTTTCGAATGGCTGCCAAACTTGCTACATCGACATCATGAACGTATCCGATTATATCAACAGGAAGATCTCCCGTAGATTGAAGCGAAATCGACATTTGTTGAGGCTTTAACTCGATGTTGACACACTGCTGCGGCCTTTCTACATGAATCTAATAACAAATTAGTCTACTTCTTGATAGATAGGCAATCGGGATTGTTTTATCTTCCACTGTGGCTTTTACACACACAATACTCTTGCTCTTGGGTAAAGCAGAAAGAGCAACCTATGCTTCAACAAGAAATAACATCCAAACACTTGTCAACTTCAAGGATCGGCAAATCAGTGCCACATCAAGAGTTTTTCCAGGAAGGATCTATTGGGCTAGGGGAACTGCAAAATGCAGATACACGTTCCGCAAAGAAATAATTCTCTGGTTCTTCACTCATTCCAATTTCGTACTAACAAACATTGCACATTTCTCCATTCACATAATGAATCATAGAGTTTATCGTATCAACCCACATCTTGACATCCCCATGAGCGGCGCGGAAATAGTAAGTCTTATTATTCTAGACATGATCCCCTGTCTGCTTCCTAACTACAATATCTTCAAAAGAAAAGCTCTTATCAGTCACATATTTTACATTCGCTATCTCTTTAATACCAATATTCAGCTCCAGCTTTCCACTCCTCGCACTAAAACAAAACAACCGCGGTTTTGTCGTCAAAAACATCTATCCCTAACTCGGTTTCCCCGTTTCTACGAAGCATTTCCCGGTCCCGAAGCATCTCCCTCGCAGCAACACTCCATTATACAAAATCTCCTCCGAAGTGTCCAGAAATCGATGTTGAACTAGTTCCCCATTTCCCCGTTTCCCCTACTCTTCTTCTTCAACGAGTCTCCTCCCAGCGAGGGACTCGGCGTCGCCATCCCGTCCACCGCCGTGAAGGCCTGCTGGCGCCGCTGCTCCGGACTTACCGGCAGCAGATTCCAGTTGATTTTGTCGATCGGAACCAGACCCATCTGCGCGTTCCCCGCCTTCGACGGCGCCTTCCTGCTCCCCTTCGACCCTTCCTGCGGAACCGTGGAAACCGTGGAAACTGTAGAAACCGTGGAAACGGGGGGATGGGAGGAGGGAGGGAGGAGAGGTGTGGTGGATGTGGCAGAGTGCGTGGAAACAGTGGAAACCGTGGAAACGGGGGGATGGGAGGAAGGTTCCGCGGGGGAAGACTCGAGAACGGTCCGGGCGTTGGCGGCGGGGAGTTTTCCCGCCATAACGAGGATGTCTTCGGCGAGCGACGCCTCGAAGGAATCATCGATCGGCTACAACGTGGAAACGTGGAAACGTGGAAACCGAGAAGGAGGGAAGGGAGCGGAGAGGAGGGCGGTAGGGCGCGGCAATGGAGGGAAGCGCCGCGAAATCGATGCCTTGGAAGAAGGGATGGCTCTGCGTTCGATCGAATTCGCAGCTCGTACCAGCAGCTCCGCGGTGTTGGTGGCGCCCAGCCGCTTCTGCGGCGTCTTGGCGAGGAGCCGTCGAATGAGGTCCTACGTTCGAAGGTTTTTAGCGGGTCTACGCGCGCGGATTCCTCCACAAACGCGGGGAACTCCATGGATTCGGGTGCAAACGCGGCGATTTTCTCGAAGATCAGATAGCTACGCGTCGTCCCGCGCCCTCAGCCCCACTCATTCTCTTCTGCGAACAGCACGGACCCCGTGAGGAGCTGGTACACGATGCAGCCCAGAGCCCACAAGTCCGAAGCGGGCGACGCCAACCCGCCGTCCAGCACTTCCGGAGAGATGTACGAACTCGACCCGCAGAACGTGTATCCTCGACCACGCTTGGACGAAACGTCGCTGGCCGAAGCCGGAGCCGAAGCCGGAGCCGAAGCCGGAGCCGAAGCTGGAGCCGGAGCGGAGGCGTCGGTGGGAGGGAGGTCTGCGTCGGAACGGACCTCGCTGAGGAATAGAACGGTGCCGAAGTCGGTGAGCGCGATGTGCCCGGTGTCCTGAAGAAGGATGTTTTCGGGCTTGAGGTCGCGGTGTACCGCGTGCTGGACGTTGCTGAGGTAGTCGAGCGCGAGGGAAATCTGGGGAAACAGAGAAACGGGAATAATTACTTCCGCGGCGTAAAACTGGACGATGGGAAGGGGGCAGCGCTGTCCCTTGTTCCGATAGTCTCTTGGAGATAGAAAAAAAAAGGGAAGAACGACTTGATCATCGTTGCTAAATCCCCTCCTGAGCAATACTGAACGACGAAATAAAGATTCTCGGGGTCCTACAGTAAAGAAATAAAAAATGATCCGACTTGAAAAGAGTAGTGAAGTCGGGTGAAGAACGGATGCTTAAAACGGAGCAATGCGTCACGTTCGGCCATTACGGACCTGACTTTTCCTTCCTACACCATGGACAAGCGAACTCCACATCGAACCTTTTGGATAAAGTTCTTGTTAACGATCTTCACAGCGTACAGCTGGTTATCGTCTTTCTTTTTGCAGATATACACCTAAACAGCTAGAGGGTCGGAAAACACTGCTACTTTGGAGTACGCGCCTTCTCCCAATTGTTCCCCAATTATAAAGCTGTCAAGTCCTATCTTCTACTTGTTACCTCATCCTATCACAGCTACATGCGACCGTTGGCTCTCCATGCATATAGAACAAACAAACGATTTGAAAACACACAAAAACCCAAAATTCCGTCGATTTCAGAACACATAAAAACTCACAGCTACAGTTCCTTCTCCAATTCTCTGCCTAAAATTACACTCTCGATCCTCAGCAATTCAGCTTCCAGAACTTTACCCATCGCTTCCTCCGAGTACTGACGCACCATCGATTCGCGAGCTTCTCTCCGGATTTCATTCAGCTCCTCTGGATTCTGAACAACCAAACGCATCATTCGCGCTAACTCTGCTCGATCCGGTTCCACCAGCTGATGTCCTCGGAACGGGCCCTCCTGGATGGTAGTCTGCATCGTAAAAAAAGCAAAAGCAAAAGCAAACGAATCGGCCGACCGGAATGGGAAAACTGTTGTTCGCATTCAGAAAGGTGAGCGGACCTCCGTATCCTGTTGTGATCACAACACCCCCACAGCTCATGGCTTCCTGCGCAACACGCCCCCAGCCCTCTCCTCGTGTTGGGAGAACCACAGCGCTCGCCTAGAATTCGAAGGGTTGATGATGTGCTACGAAGTTGTAAAAGTAGGGAAGGAACAATTGCGGTGCGAGCGTCGTAACGATTTTAAAATGGGGAAGCGAGGAAGCCTTGTGTGCCCAATGTGTGCGAATGAAGTCCTGGACTTGATCATCCACAGAATCTCCATCCGAATGATACTCTTGCGTGATGATAAACAAAGAAACAGGATCGTTCTTGGAGAACGAGTCGAAATAAACGTTTAACAAAATATCCCACCCTTTTCGAAACTCCCATTTGAAAATGGACAGAAAAACGGTGGAAGCATAGCCATGGAGAGGGTGGCGCTCGAAAACAGTGTCGAATATGTAGGCTCGCGTGAGATTGTATGTGTTTTCGGGATCTTGGGAGAGAGGGAGCGTTGCATCTTTGCGAACCGACACGATCGGGCGGAAGAAATGAGTGTTTACAGACTCTCCAACCACTCGAACGTTCTTTACGCCCTCTCTCTCAAAGATGGATTTCAGGAAGTCGGAAGGCACCCAGATTTCGTCCATTCGATTCATTTTCTTCTTCCATCCCTTCGGAAGACGATCGGTTTCAAACATGGTTCGACCAACGTGATAGGAAACGGATTTGGAGAACTGCGGGCAGTCGCTCGTGTCAAATGCAGCTGGCTTCCAGGCGCCCGGCTCGCTGTGGCACACTTCAATGGTGATGCGATTCCGATCATCCCGATCCTTATTCAGCAGTCTCCACAGCATAGACTGATCCTACCCTAAAATCAAACACAAAAAACGACTTCATATGAAAGAGCGGATAAATAACCCTGGCTCACTCCATCTCCATGCTGCAGATTATATAAACATTTGGGGAAACTCACTTGCTGTAAGTGAACGTCGAATCCTTGCTTTTCAAGAGAAGACACGAGAGACGTTGCCTCCGAGCAGTAGCCACCTCCACTAAGAAACGGGGCGTTCCAAAAAACCTGTGGTTCAAAAAATGATCCACAAGACTACAGAGATGTGCTGGTTGTGCTTTGTAGAGTAGCTTTCAACATCCGGAAACTTGAGCCTGCCTCTATCCGCTGAAAACGAGAAAAAGCCCGTACATAAACAGTACGATATAGAAAAAGCAAAGATAGGCTGCGATCTGTAGAATGCGGTTTGTATCCATCAAAATATCAATAGGATGGAATATGGTCAGATAGGTCTGGCACGGTCCTAATAAAAGTTGGGCGCCATGACCCAAATTTTCGCGGGCTTTTTGATAGAATCAAAGACATCAAAATTTGAATTCAATACAGGAAATGCAGTACTCGTTCAAGCTAGACGATGCATTTGTGGACCAATATAAAACGAAGACGCCTCCCTTCGGTTTTAACGGTTTAGGCGAGACGATTTATCGTCGTACCTATTCCAGAGTGATCAATGGTGTCCGAGAGAAGTGGTACCAAACTGTCCGCCGTGTTGTGGAGGGAACGTACTCAATTCAAATGAACCATATCAATATGAACCAATTGGGATGGAACAATGACCAGGGACAACGCTCAGCACAAGAAATGTATGATTTAATCTTCAACATGAAGTTTTTGCCTCCAGGTCGCGGTCTCTATTGCATGGGAACAAACATTGTAAGCCTGTATGTGGTAGGTGTTACCGGTAGGTCCACCAAAAGAATCTCGCTGCTGCGCTCAACAATTGCGCGTTCGTCTCCACGGAAACTCTGGACCAGGACCTTTCTCTTCCATTTGAGTTTCTGATGGATGCCACGATGCTCGGTGTGGGTGTGGGTTTTGACACGAAAGGCGCTGGAAAACTAACGATCTTGGTACATTTCGCTTTTTTCTAATGATTTTTGTAGGGTCCTGATACCACCCAACCCCCAATTGACTACGTGATCGAGGACAGCCGTGAAGGCTGGGTCCAGTCGGTGGGGACGCTGTTGCAGAGCTATTTCGGCGAGGACGGCGTGAAGACGCCCGCGATCGTGTTCGATTACAGCCACATTCGAAAGCCCGGCGAGGAGCTCAAGACGTATGGAGGGAAGAGCAGCGGTCCGGATCCTCTCATCGAGCTGCACAAGAAGCTCCGCGAGACGCTGGACAAGCAGATCGGTTCGAAGATCAGCTCGACGACGATCACGGATATCTTTAATCTGATTGGTCGCTGCGTGATTGGCATCGGCAACATCCGAGCCGCTGAAATCGCGTTCGGCGAAGTGGGAGACACCGAGTTCTTGGACCTGAAAGACTATGAGAAGAACCCGCATCGCGCGGATTACGGGTGGACCTCCAACAACAGCATCTTCGCGGAGATCGGGATGGATTACTCCTCGATCGCGGAGCATGTGGCGAAAAGCGGCGAGCCTGGCCTGGCCTGGCTGGAGAACATGCGCCACTACGGACGAATGTGCGATCCGCGGAACGACAAAGACATCAAGTGGGCCGCGGGCAGCGAGGCTGATGCGTAGAGTGAAGGGCGGGAACCCGTGTCTGGAGCAGTCGCTGGAGTCGTACGAGCTGTGCTGCCTCGTCGAGACGTTCCCCGCGCGGCACGCGTCGCTCAAAGAGTTCCAGCGCACGCTCAAGTTCGCGTATCTCTACGCCAAGACGGTCACGCTCGGGCGAACGCACTGGGCGCAGACCAACCGCGTGATGCTGCGGAACCGGCGGATCGGCTGCTCGGTGAGCGGGATCGCGCAGTTCCTCGCCAGCCACAATCTGGAGGAGCTGCGGCAGTGGCTGGACGCGGGCTACCAGACCGTGCAGCACTGGGACGAGGTCTACAGCGAGTGGTTGTGCGTGCCGAAGTCCATCAAGACCACGTCGGTGAAGCCGTCGGGTACCGTCTCGCTGCTGGCGGGCGCCACGCCGGGCATGCACTATCCGCTGGGGAAGTATTACATCCGCCGCGTGCGGTTCCAGGCGGACTCGGACATGCTGCCCGCGCTGCGGCAGGCGGGGTACCACATCGAGCCGTGCGTGGGGCAGGAGAAGACGATGGTGGTGGTGTCGTTCCCGGCGTGCGCGGGGGAGAACATCACGGTGCAGGAGGACGTGTCGATCTTCGAGCAGTTCTCGCTGGCGGCGTTTTTGCAGCGGTATTGGGCGGACAATCAGGTGTCCTGCACGATCTCGTTCAATCCGGAGACGGAAAGCTCCAAGATCACCAAGTGCTTGGACTTCTTCCAGTACCAGCTGAAGGGCGTCGCGATGCTCCCGCGCGTGAAGCTCGATATGTTCCCGCAAATGCCGTATGAGAAGATCGATAAGGAGACGTATGAGGCCATGGTGAAGGACCTGAAGCCCATCAACTGGGATGTCGTGGATGAGGTCGTGATACCCGGAGAAACGGAGGGAAGAGTGTCGAACGGGGAGAGTTTGGAGGTGGAGGAGAAATTGTGCAATGCTAGAGAATGTAACTTTTGTGATGCGGATCAGTCGGATCTGAATATGACGGGCCAGTACAAGGCTGACTAGTTTGTGCTATGTCGTGTTTGTTTCAGAAAACAGCGTGGTTTACTCAAACTTCCACTCCACGTTCATTACCGAGACCGCCTCTCCCGCATCCTCTAGCTGTGATAGACATGCAAAACTCAAACCATCATAGTCAGCAAAATCTTCGTGCAAATCAACTTGCTTGAATTCCGCCCCTCCTGTTGAAGTGATCGTGAATCCATCCTAGATAGGAATTGCATGATTTTGCAAATACGCTGGGCTCAAATTCACAAGGAGTGCCGCCTCGAACCTCAAACGAGACAATTTTGCAAGGCTTTTCAGATTCAGTATATGGAGTCAGCGACTTCTTCGTGACATCAATTCGGATAGCTTGACGGCACCTGGGAATAAAGCAGAAACAACGAATTACTCTTTGCAAGTGTACAAACAGTTGCATTCCCCTCTCGCGCCTGGGATCTCGACCGACTCCTCCGCAGAAACATAGAGGAGATTGGGACTTACGGTCTGACAACGCGTGCACTCGATTTTCATCGGCCAGACGGTACTGTCCGACGCAGAAATCGATTCTACGTTTTCTAGCTCAGCTTTCAATATTAGATTAAAGGTAGGCATGAAATGAATGACTAATCAGCGCTCTCTGTGAGTTGAAAGGTGTATTTTGTCTTCTCAAACTATTTGGAATCTGATGCAATGCAATCTATCTGTTGTAAAAAGAGGTGAAATGAGAATTGTGAGGAGGAATAAGAAAAATAGTTTTGTGACTTTTTCAGAAAGTGTTACTCGAGAGTCTTTGTAACCAGCATGCAACTCTTTTTCAAGACTGTCACTGTAGGTTGTTGAATTGCTGCTCCGAGAGTGATGCTAATCGCCTTGTAGGGAAACACCGTCTCTCTTGAGGTTCAGCCCACGGAGTCCGTGGAGAACGTCAAGAAGATGATTCAGGAGAAGGAGAACATCGACTACTACAACCAGCGTTTTGTGTTCGCTGGCAAGGAGCTGGACGATTCGGAGGCGATCAGCGCCTGCGGAGTCAGCGAGTCCGCCACCATTGAAGTGCTGTTCAAGATGGCTGGAGGAGTGATCGAGCCCACCTTGGCTGCTCTGGCCAAGAAGTACAACTGCGAGAAGATGGTGTGCCGTAAGTGCTACGCTCGTCTTCCTCTTCGTGCGCACAACTGCCGTAAGAAGAAGTGCGGACACAGCAACCACCTCCGCCCCAAGAAGAAGCTGAAGTAATTGTGAATGGTTATCATCTCTCTCAAGTCCCGCTTCCCTGTTTTCTGAAAACAAACAACCCAATGTTCATATTGCACCCGCTCTACTGCTCACTTAGATCTGTCTAGCAACGAGGTCCAGATCCTTGTATCCGGCGTTGGTGAGTCTGCGACCACCGTGCTTGCCGACCTCCACGAGTCCCAGAGCTTCCAGGTTGTGAAGGCAGTGACGGATGATGTTTCCGTTAGCCTATGCATAAGCACTCACTTCTCATGCGAGAGCCCACATGATCGTGGTACTGACGACGAACTCCGTTGCGATGACGACCACCGAAAGCATCACGAAGAGACTTTACGCCCACATCAGGTCGAATGTAGAGGTGGCGAGCAATGGCGGCTAGACTTCAGCGAAAAGCACCTGTTCCTACCACAACGAATGAAGTACCAGTCAGGGTCATACGGACTGTACTCGCTGAACACTCTGGTTCTCATGATGTCATGGAGCTTGGGGAGAGAGACGGTTCCCTTCTTCTTGAGGTACTCAGCGTAAGCCTTGATCAGCTTCATAGCCTCGACGTCCTTAGCAGTGGTTCCCTTACTCTTATCGATTCTTTCCATCTATATCAAAGTTAGCCGATGTTCTCCAAATTGAAATAGAATTTGACCGAACTCGTCTCAAAATACACCTCCGTGCAGAACACTTAGAAAATAACGTACTGTTCCAAAATGAATAGGCGGTAAAGTGCAATTCTTGAGAGATAAAGTGGATGGAAATTAAGTGAGCGGTTTATAAGGGGCATTTTCGAAGTCTTTTTTCGACTCTCTATTTGAAACCGCTGTCTTGTATTTGAACCATCCATCGAGTTTATATTGGCTGCTCACTGTTGCTTTTTTGTAAAGCGCGCTCTAGCAGAAAATCGACTTGAAGGAGCACTTTTCATTTCCAACTTAAACCTTTCAAAATGTCTCAACTATGTAAACATAGAGTCTTCTCGATACTCCGTTTATCGAAAATAGACTAGTTCACAGGTTTCGTGATTCATTCTTTTTTGCATGCAACCATCAAGTCAAGTGTGTCTACGGGATTTCATCCAGAGACGCGACTACTCAGATGAGGAAATTCGTTTTATGCTTGATTTGGAGTTCGTTCAGGACTTAGCGAATATTTATTATCTTAAATGTGGTTGGGTGGAGATGCCACTTATCGATAGGGTTGGCAGACAACAAGTACTTTGAAGACCCTGCGTTCATGAACTATTTGAAATATCTACAGTACTGGAAAGAGCCAGAATACGCATGCTATCTTGTGTTTGTATTGCCATCCGCTAATGAAACCTAGTTATCCTCAATGTCTGTATTACCTAGATAAGTTGCAGGATGAAACTTTTCGATTTGTACTTACATCTATTCATTTCATCTCATCTTTGTAGCTACTGCAGGATCAAAACCATATTTTGTTCTTGGACTGGCAGAGTTACCTGGCGATGAGAAAGCATTCAGAAGAACCAGCAAAAGTCAGTACTTCCCCAAATACAGAGAGCACCAAATAGATAGTATTCAAATTTGCATAGTTATTCGTTCGTTTGTTTGTTTATTATCAAAGATTTTTGCAGGCATTTTTTGTTGGCATTTCATTTTGCTTGCAACATGTTAAAGGCTTTTTTGATTCTTTGCATAGCTATATGTATTTTATTATGTATGCTACTGATTTGTAGTATGTTTTGGAACAGAACTGACGTGTGGGAAGGGCTATTTGTCTTACCAACAAAACGGAGAAAGTCGGTACTTTGTCTGTGGAGATGACATTACTACAATTACCTTTGTGCCGGGACTACCTCGCGGACTTTCATTGGTCAAGGGAGTACTTAAGGGTGCTCCTGAAAGAGCATTCAAACATTTACGCATTACATTAAATGCTGCGAATGCTTATGGTCTCATGTGGCTAAATTGTATCACTTCACTTGTTTTCTCAATTCTAGCGCAACCAAATCTTACAGATGTTGGAACAGGAATTGCTACGCATACAATCTACAAAGATGCTTACCTCAGTCCAATCCACTTTTACCCTGACAGCTATGTCAAATCATTTTCGATTGACCCTGCTCTTCCTGATGGTCTTTCTTTTAACGAGAAGCTCGGAGTGATCAACGGGACGTACCATGGAGATGTGGGTCAAAGCACCGTCTATACCGTTACTGCCACGGGTCCTGATCGAGAAGTCCAATCTGTTTTTACTCTCAATTACAAAGGTAAGGACCCTCAACCCCATTTACTCTAGATACGAGTTCGATCCCATCAGATGGTTATTCTCTCTGCTATTATGGCTTTTATAATTACCAAATTGTTATGACGGAGAACTTCGCTCAGCACGAGAGTGTGACAAAGTGTGTGCGTCTGACTGAACCAATCGACTTTTATGAAAACTATAACAAGGAAAAGGTTCATCATTGGCCCGGTCTGACCGATGATGTGGGCAGTGACTACTTCGTGAAGCTCACTGGCTACTTCAAGGCAGCGAAGACGGGGCAGTACACCTTCCGGTTAAACATTACGAATTATGCATCGTTGGTGATTGACGATGAAGAATGGATGACGCTCGGTACGGTCGGCAAGTCGTTTGTTCACCAGAACGTTACTCGCACTCTCGAGAAGGGAATGCATTTGTTTACCATCTATTACACCTACACCGACTTGGAGTCGGCGTTGCATGTGGAATGGCGAAGAGATCAGGGAGAATGGCAGACTCTGAGTGCTTCTGCTTTGTATTTCGGTGGGATAAGCGAAATGTGTAATGACGAATAGGAAGCCGCGGTCCCGCATTCTTGAATTACCCTGATGTGTCTGTGATGAAGGGAATGGCCATCAATGTTACAGATCACACGGTGCGAATGGGTTTTGTGGAGAAGTACACGATTCAGCCAGCTCTTCCCTCCACTCTTTCCTTAAATCCCTTTACTGGAGATATTGTTGGAACGGTCGATGTATTGCTTTGGAATAGGTTTGATAGATAGACGGCAATAAATCAGATTTTCACGATCACAGCGGAGAATGCTTTTGGCTCTTCAAGTGCGGAGTGGCAGTTGCTCGTTAACGAAACGCCTCTTGCGGGTTTGGAAGGTCACTACTACCGACTTGACAAGGATGAAAATGCTTGTCAACAACGCTTTTACGATTACTTGATGGACCTCTATACAATTCGAAATGACTTAGATATCAATCATCCTTTTGAACATCCAAATGGATATTGGGAAGGCATCCCGAGTCCAATGTTCTACTATGGGTCCCATGTGGAGTGGAATGGCTATCTGGACGTCAAGGAAGAGGGAGAATGGCAATTCCAAACGCAGCACATCGATGGCTTAAAAATAATGTTCGACGACAAGCTTTTCATCAACTCCTACTCGTGCAGTGAGTCGATTTCCCATATGACCCGGTCAATCTCCCTAACGAAGGGATATCACAAAGTGCAGATCTTGTGGTTCTCGAGTCATAAGGACTTCATGCTCATCATCACAGTGAAACGTCCTTCGGACGCGGAGTTCATTTCCATTCCCGAAGATTTGTTTGTCCACGCGCCTTCTTCGGCTCTCTCCATGACAACCCAAGTCAATCAATTCTACGTTGGAAGACCGATTCCTACGATTTCGCCCCTCGCGTTTGCCGTCGAAGAGCCGTTCACTTCGTATTCCATCACTCCCGAGCTCCCCAGTGGACTGACCTTTTCGAATGGACAGATCAGCGGAACGCCTTCTGTCGAATTCGGTCCCACGGTGTTTGAGATCCAGGCGACCTCGAAGGGAAAACAGTACACAACAACGTGCACGTACGCTTCGTATAGTGTGGAAGGTCCTGGCGAGGTTCGTGTGACAGACGGAATTAACAACATTACGAGCGTCAAGTGGGATATCTACAAGCAAATCAACAAGCTGAAACTCTCCTGCGGCAATTCGTTCTGTAAACTAGACATTGCTCCCGCTCTTCCTGAAGGCGTTACTTACGATTCAGCGAAGCTCGAAATCACTGGAAGACCCACAGAAGCCATGGAGCAAACTGTATTTACAATTAGTGCAAGTACTGAAGCGAGTACCACTACCAAGGAGCTGACGGCTGAAGTGCCGATTTGCGAGTATGGACACTACTACTATATAGAAGGGATGATGTATTCTGGTGCATTTGATTTGTACATTTACAAGGGAGAAGTACTGACGAAGAGCTATGAAAAAGTAAAGTTGAACGATATTAGTTTGGTTTTGTGCATTGAGTCGTATAACTACAACATTGCGATCCGCCCCAATCCCTTCCAGCAGAGCATCAGTTCCATCTCCCTTAAGCGAGATGATGGTTTGATCTTCTTCGATACCAAAATCAAAGAGAGTAACTGGTTCAACACTACATGGGAAATGATCCAGACAGAGGTTCCAAAGCTCGATATTGAGATCACGGAGTATTATGTGAAGCCTTCCGAAACGCTGAACATTCCATATAAAATCATTGGCTTGACTCGGCCGCTCACTGTCGATTCTGCTCATGCAGAGGACGTTACGATCCGTGAAATCACGAGCAATATTGAGATCAAGATCAGTGGATCAGGAAAGATTGAATACACGTTCATAGTGGAGAATGATGCGGGAAGAAGTGAAGTAACGATTACGGCTTGGTCTGATGAATGTCCCGAGAATACGATGCTGATTCAATGCTTTGGATCGGAGTTCTACTACTCAGATTCGTTCACTCTTACGCGCGTTAGCGATGGAAAGAAAGTGATCGATCGAAATTTGGGAGTCTCTCTTTCGAATGTTTTTCACATATGTATCGAGAACGTCCCCTACTATTTAACGCGCTATCGTAAAAGCTCTTCCGATGAGAAGAAATACGTAGTGCTGAAGAATCAGCAGGGACGCTATCTCGGGACGATGGGCTTCATGCTTGGTACCCTTCAAACGGAACTGTTCCAGCTAGTCTCGCTTGTTCAGGAAAACAGTCCGCGCAAGGCCTGGGTGAGCTCCAGCTCTGTCAACCGAAAGTGGAGAGAGATTGGATTCAATGAGAGGAAATGGATTGCCGACTCTCGCGACCTGGGATCGTTCTCCTCGAATATGCTCACTGCGTACTTCCGCTATCATCTCAATGTGAATAAGGAAATCTCGATCCCTGCCTTGCTGTTGGACGTGAAGGCCAACGGTGGTTTCGTGATGTATCTGAACGGATACGAAGTGATTCGAATGAATCTTCCATTGGGAGGGCTCTCTTCCAAGGTAATGGCTCGTCGACACATCGATCTCTCGCAGTGGACCCGCGTCAGCGTGAATGCGGAATGGCTGCAGGAAGGAGACAACGTGCTGTCGGTCGAGTTGCATTGCTACAGCACCGGACAGCCGGAGCTCGAGAAGATCATGTTTGAATTGAGCCAGGAACAGTTCACTGGATCGTCCTACTTCTTCTCGGAAAGCGGATATGTGGCAGGTACAGATCATGGCGTCACGAGCAGTTCGGATCCCTATGATGTGTTCTTTAGCACCAACAATTACCGCTACTGGGAAGACGTGGAACTTCCTGCTCAACTTCGCCTCACCTTCCTGGATAACGAGCCTCGCTTCGTGAACCGAATGGTCATGCGCTCTTCCTATGACGCTCTCTATCAGCCGATCCGTTTCGAGGTGTTCGGCGTGATTAACCAGACGGTCTACGATGGCACGGAATACTCCTTCCAGGAGGTGAAGGAGAGCATTCTGGTGGTGAACAACCCCTACATCCTCGATGTCAAGCTCAAGGAGGAAACGTTCTTCCTCTACCCCTCTCGCCCCTACTCCGCCTACGAAGTCAGCGTCCACGCGACCAACAGCGAAACCCAAACCGTCCGCATTAACAAGATCTGGTTCTACGCGGATCACCACTACTATTGTCCCGAAGAGGACGACTGGCCTCGCACGCGCGGAGGCGATTCGGTCTTTGGGAAGTGCTCGATCTTTAAGATCGGCCAGTCCACGCGAGTCTGCAACACCACTGGCGAGTGGCTGGATAGGGATCAGGGAACCTGTCTGACTCGATGGGCTGGGAAGACGAGCGCTTTCCTCGACGCGGCGTACCGCATCGATAACTGCACGATGGAGATCTACTACAACAACACCGAGGCGGCCTTCCGCGAAGTCCTCGTTCGCGAAATGACCGTGAAGGAGGAGAACGTGCTGCTCTATCTGCCTCGGCGCTGTGAGGCAGAGGGCGAATTGCCGGCGGTGTGTGTGAAGGTGCGACTGGAGCCCCATCGACTAACCAGCCAGTACGTGAAGATGGAGCTGGATCTGTTCAATACAAATATCACGGGGTTGTTCTATAAGAAGGAAATGTATGGCGTACCGCAACACATGACGATATCGCTCATTGAAAAGGTGAAATTACGCGAAATGATTACCGGAAAGGATCTTATCCTGACGGTTATCATCGCTATTCTGCTTGTTCTCTGCATTGTTCTCTTTATGATGTATTACAAGACCAAGTATGGCTCTAGAAACTCGAAAAGAAAGCAGCTTTCGAAGAAATCGAGGCAACTGGACGTACTTCCTTCTCAGCAGACAGAAAAGCTGATCTAATTCGCATTGTTTGTTTTTTACACATCTTGATTTGGAAAATGGTCTCACTTTCAGACCCGCACGTGCGCACCTTATTTTCAGTGTTTGATTGTTTCCCCATTCCTTGTTTAGAGAAAAACACAAAAGCATGGAAAATGGCGGAATTAGCTGTCAAGGGATAGGAATCTGTGAGAGCCAATCAGATTCGCGGGCGTTACGAATCTTGAGTCTACTCTCAAACCCCGATCATCGGAGGAAAATGGTCAATCAATATTTTAAATGGACAAAGGCGAAAAATCTGTTGAACTTACCACCATCAACGTTGGAAAGAGTGAGGAACAGGTAATATTTGGACACAGAACAATGAAACATAGGTTGATGAATTGTTCCGATGGTCCCCCATTGATTTGGGAGCTCCGACAGCCACAAATAAAGATTCTCTTTTCGATTGGCAGAACGAGAACAAGGGAGGAAAATCAATTGAACGTTTTGGAGGCATCGATGCATTGCTTAAGTCTCTCGGGACAAGTAAGAAGGAGGTACGTTGCGTTGCATTGAGTTTTTGAGAAGTGGATTGTCTGAAATGTGCACTTGAACTCACCTTGTCTAGGGATTGACGTTTGAACAAGCGGAGGATCCTAAGAGAGAGGAAATCTACGGAAACAATCGGACCATTGAGCGTGAGGGAGTCACCTACTGCCAACTTGTTTGGGAGGGGATGCACGACTTCACTCTCATTCTTCTTTCGATCGCCGCTGTGATCTCCATCGCTCTCGGTGTGTACACCGAAGGCTGGGACGATGGTTGGTACGATGGCTTTGCCATCATCATCGCTGTTGCGGTGTGTGTGAACGTGACAGCCATCAACGATCTTCAGAAAGACAAGCAGTTCCGCGCTCTCAACGCGGTGAATAACGCAAAGCAAATCCGAACCCTGCGTGGGGGCGAGATGGTTCTGGTCAAAACCGACGATATTGTGGTTGGTGATATCGTGGAGATCACCGCTGGTGATTCCGTTCCTGCTGATGGCTATTTCCTCAACGGCAGCAACGTGAAGATGGACGAATCGAAACTGACCGGAGAGTCGGATCAGGTGGAAAAGAACGAATCCAATCCATTCATTGTATCTTCTTCGGAGTGTCACGAAGGATCGTTCAAGATGGTTGTGATTGCTGTGGGATCGAACAGTGTGTTTGGACGAATGCGAGCCATGATCGAGTCGGAGGGCGACGACAACACGCCTCTCCAGATCAAGTTGGCCTTGCTGGCCAAGCAGCTCTCGGTCATTGGAGCTTCGGTCGCTGTGGTTACTGTGGTTGTGATGATCGTGCTGCACGTTGTGACCTTTTTGACCGGAAACGGAACGAGCACATGGGATGCTTCCAACTGGGAGTTCATCGTCACCGCCTTCACGACGGGTGTGGCGATTCTGGTGCTGGCCATTCCCGAGGGTCTGCCTCTTTCTGTCACGATCGCTCTCGCCTATTCGGTGAAGCGAATGATGACGGATAACAACTTGGTGCGTCATCTCTCCGCCTGCGAGACCATGGGAGGAGCGAACACGATTTGCTCGGATAAGACGGGAACGCTGACGCAGAACCAGATGACCGTGGTGCAGGGATGGGTCTACAACGAAGAGAACCAGACTGCCTTGCTGAGCGAGTTGAAGACTGGAAGCACGGAGGAATACAACGCCTTCATTGCCAACTGTGCCAAGATTAGCGAGTCTGCGAAGCAGCTGCTCATGGACAATGCGATGCTGAACAACGAGTCCTATATCACGACGACTGACGAGGGAAAGGAGCGCGGTGTTGGATCGGCTCTGGATATCGCGCTGTTGCGTTGGGGCAAGCTATTAGACGTGGATTACCACGCTGTGCGCGAGAAGTACCCTCTGCTGAACGCGGAGTCGGCTGCCGATGCTACGGGAATCGTGCGTCGCTTCCCCTTCCACTCCAACCGCAAGCGAGCCTCGGTGCTGGTGCGATTGGCCAATGGCAAGTATCGTTTGTATGTGAAGGGAGCGCCCGAGATGGTGATTCGTCTCTGCGATGCCGTGATTCTCCCCGACGGAAGCATGAAGCAGCTCACTGGAACCTTCCAGGAAGATAGTTCCGGCAACGTGACGGGCACGGGCTCGCGCTGCAACCTGGTGAAGCACTGCATCTACCCGATGGCTAGACAGGCGCTGCGTGTGCTGGCGTTCGCCTACCGTGACTTTGATTCGATCGAGGACATCGACAAGACTGTGCAGTACCCCACGGAGGATCAGAAGGGAGTGGGCGAATGCCCGGTGATGGAAGACGCTCTCACGCTGGTGGCGTTCCTGGGCTTCCAGGACCCCGTGCGTCCCGAAGTGCCTGAAGCCGTGCTGTCTTGCCAGAAGGCCGGTATCTTCGTGCGCATGGTGACGGGAGACAACATGGAAACCGCCAAGGCCATCGCTCGTCAGTGCAACATCTACCACCACGACACTTGGAAGGACCCGAACGGAAGAGAGTGGCCTGCTGGTCGCGCGATCCTGGGTTCGCAGTTCCGAGAGATCGTCGGAGGACTGGTCCTGCCGCCTCACTTCTATCATGAGTGCCACTGCAAGGACTGCTCGAACGATACGCACTTTGTTCCTGGTTACAAGACTCCCGATTACCCCGTGCATTACGGCTATCCCTCGATTGTGGGTCACAAGGATCACCACTGCGCCGATTGGACCGAGGAGGCGAAGAAGAAGCGCGGCAGCGATCCCAAGAGCCAGTGCACCGAGGAGTGCAAGCAGCGTGGCTGCATGTGCCAGGTGAAGAACCCCAAGGACGAGCGCCAGCTGCAGCAGTTCTATGTGGTGAAGAACCAGGGACAGTTCGATCAGTTCGTGGACACGCTGCAGGTGATGGCGCGTTCGGCTCCTACCGATAAGCACTTGCTGGTAACGGGTCTGATGGAGCGTCATCAGGTGGTGGCCGTGACGGGTGATGGAACCAACGATGGTCCTGCTCTTTCCAAGTCCAACGTGGGTTTCGCTATGGGAATCACGGGTACCAGCGTGGCCAAGGACGCTTCGGATATCGTGCTGATGGATGATAACTTCATCTCCATCGTGAAGGCCGTGATGTGGGGACGGAACGTGTACGACTCCATCCGCAAGTTCCTGCAGTTCCAGCTGACCGTGTCCTTCGTGGCGTGCGTCGTGTCCTTCGTTAGCGCCGTATTCCTGGAAGAATCGCCTCTGTCTCCCGTGCAGGTGCTCTGGATCAACCTCGTGATGGACACCATGGCTGCTCTGGCTCTGGCCACCGAAGCGCCGACTCCCAAGCTGCTGGACCGTTTGCCCTACAGCAAGACCGAGTCGCTGATTTCGAACGTGATTCTGCGGAACCTGCTGATCCAGCTGGTGTTCCACCTGGTGATTCTGCTGACCATCGTGTTCCTTGGCCATCGTCTCTTTAATATTCCCATCGGATCGAATCTGGGCCAAGGCTCCAACCCGGAGATCCACTTCACCATGGTGTTCAACGTGTTCGTGTTCATGGAGATGTTCAACGAGATCAATTCGCGTCGAATCAACAACGAGTGCAACGTGTTCGAGCACATGGCTAGCAATACCATGTTTTGGATGATCTTCATCATCTCGATGATTCTGCAGCTGATTCTCGTGCAGTTCGTCGGACGCGTCTTCTCCACGCATCCGCTCACCTGGCAGCAGCACTTGTTCTGTGTGGTGATGGGCTTGTGCACGCTGCCCCTCTACCAGCTGGCTCGCACCGTCCCTGCGGACTGGTTCCTGTCCATCGGGGGATCGAAGGACGCCGAGTTCACGATCCCCAAGGAAACCTTGCTGACTGGACGCAACTCGCTCGCCAAATCGCGTCTGGCCAGCGTGACTTCAGGCCAATTTGCCGACTCGAAGACTGTACATCGCATCTTCTCTCATTGTTCTGTTTGTTCAACAAACACGCCACTCATCATCGTCCTCGTCTTCAATCTCGTCCATGCACAAACTGGTGTCTGAATCCTCGCTGTTGCCTCGCTTGCGTCGCTCCTCCTCTCTCTGCGCATCGGGATGGTTGATCGCGATAATGTTCTACCTCTCATCTCTCTCCCCTTCTCCCCTACCGCCGTGTCCACCAGAATACACCCGCAGAACGCGTCCTGGCATCCGTGATCCTACCCCTCATCGCCTCCCTTCTCCTCTACCCTCGACGTGCTGAAGATCGTGATCACCCTTCCTCCCTTGCTGATATTAATCCCCTTCTGCGTGGGCTCGTGCGCCCTCAGAATGTGCGACATCCCCGTCGTGTCCAAAAAGTTCTGAATCGCCCGGTCTCCATAGCAAATCGCCCCGGGGCCTCGCTCGCCCTCTCCGAACCCCGTGTGGTCCAGCCGCTTCTCCTGCTCGTGCTGCGCGGGGTCCGACCACAGCAGGTCGTTGGACAGCTGCTTGATCTGCTTGGACCGCTCGTCCGTGGTGGCCACGCGCACCGCCGTGGGACAGGGGATCTTGTTGATGCTCTCCAGCGCGCTCTCCGTCGCCGACAGCGGCCGCGGAATGCCGCCGTGCACGCAGAAGATCACGTCGTCGATGGAGGCCGCGAAGGGGAGGTAGTCGAAGACCGCGTTGGCCATCGACCACACGCTTTTGCCCACGTTCACGCCGTAGCGCGACTTCAGCTGGCCCAGGAAGCACCGGTTGCCGTAGTACGACTCCCAGCCGTTCACCGCGCGGAGCTCGTGGTTGCCGCGGAGCATGAAGACCTTGTCGGGAAGCATGATTTTCTGCGCGAAGAGGTAGGAGAGAACTTCGATGGAGTACTGACCGCGGTCGACGTAGTCGCCGAGGAACAGGAAGCTGCCCGGGGTGAGGTGCATGCCCAGAGGCCACAGGATTTTCGAGAAGGCGATCAGATCGGCGATGTTGCCGTGGAAATCGCCAAAAACGTACACCGGCGATTTCAGCTTGAGCAAACGCGGCTCGGACGCGAAGATATATTCTAGAATGAACCGCGAGTCCCAATCCCTACTCACTTGATTACACTGGTTTTCGAAGGCATCCAAAAAGTCGTCCGACACAAAGTAAGGATTGGGCATCGGCTGCGCGCACTGAGCAATGATCTCTTCGTTGTACACTCCCTTGTCCTCCTCTTCTTCCGCATCAAGAAGACCACTCGTCACCTGGCTGGCTGCTCTACACAGTAACCGCGGATCCGAAGCGAACTACCTGGAAATTCGGTTCTTTTGGACATTATTCTTGTAGAAAGTGTACAAGGTCGGGGCAATTGTATACTGCTTCCGCTTGCCCTCCCCCTTCATAACTGCGATTTGTTCGCGAAGTTGGCTGTTTTCCTGCATCAGCTTGATACAGTTCATACACACGTCTTGTTTCTTCTGTTCTGACTCTCCACTATTCGAGGAGGTATCAACAGTTGTATTCTTCTTGCGTCGCCACATAATAAATGGGATATCCGACCCTCTTTGAAGATTCCCGCGGAACGCCAACATGAAAAATCATGTCTCATTGAAGCCAATTGAAACACTTCAAACTTCGATTCAGTTGTCGCTTTCCAATCCATAACTTTCGAATTCGTCGCTTATTTCCTCAAACACACAACTAAACAACTTAAACACGGCTATGTTTCAGTATTCCCATCTTCACTCGAATGCGCTCGTACTTCCTCTTCGGCTTCGCGCCCTTCCGCTGCACCAGATGGCGGCGTTCGATCGACTCGAACTGCTGTTGGGCCGCGTTCACAATATTCCGCGTCGTCCGCAACGAGCCCGTAATTTCGTTCGACAACAACACATCCACCTTAGGCGCCTCCAAATTGCTCGTTAAGCACTCCTCTATCAATCTACCAAAGGATATATTGCTTTGCCTCCATGCAAGATGGCGGGAAGCTTTTGCTCTTCTTTCAGCTTTTTCATCTCCAATTCCTCCTGTTTCTCCTGCTCCCTTCGCTCCTGCGTGTCTTCGTACTCCTTCGCCAGTTTCTTCGCATTGTCGACATCGTGCAGGAATTGCCGCTCTTTCTTCCGCTTCTGCGCTTCGCGGCGTTGATTCTCCATTTCTAACATCCGGTTGCGCTTCTGCTGCGTCAGCCGCTTGTTTCCGGGTCGCACGACCTCGCGCTTCGCTTCTTCGTTTCCCGCGCTTTCTTCTTCGCCCTCGTCTTCCTCGTCCGAGTCAAACAGCAGCGACGACTGCGTCAAAACCCGATCCCTCGCCCTACCGACAACACGTTCGCAGGGATTCGCTGGCTGAAGAGGTCCGCCTTGGTCATGCCGTTCATGAGCGTTCGCTCCTTCTTCATCATGTCGCTGTAGTGCTTCTCCTGCACCAGCTGCTCCCCGATGAGGTCTTGGTGCTGCTCCGCGTCGGGGTTGTAGGAGCTGCCCGGCTTGGGCAGCGGAACCGCGGGAAAATCGTTCGGTTTGACAATTTGGCGGGGCTGCGGGTGAGAAAAAGAAAAGAGAGCAGGACCTTCTTGCTTTTCTTCATGGAGAACTCGAGGTCTTCTTCGCGGAGGAAACCTTGCGAGTCGAAGATTTCTAAAGGAAACAAAGGAAACAAAGGAAAACTCTTTTCGGGAGCTTTCCACATATCATAGACGTCGCTTTCTTTCGCTTTGGATACGGCAGTCTCCTTCTTTTCTTTCGCTTTGTCCTGTTTCTTCTACAAAATGACTCGAAATGGAGGTGTTTGCCTCTAGCTTCTTCTTCAATTTCAAAATTTGTCTCTTTTCGGTTGCAGAAAGGTCTTCACCCAATTCGTCGTCGAATACAATCTTTCTCAAACGAGAAGAACCTTATTTCGTCAACTCCTCAGAAAGAGAGTTCTACCTGTGGTGTCTTCATAGAAAATGGCGCTATCGTCCAGTTTCGATATGGCTTCCGACTCTTTGATCTTCTGCATCGTATCTTCATATTCCTTGGCAGCTTCCGATTTCTTCCACGACTTTACCGAGTTTTTCTTCTGTTTCCGACCCATGAGTGCGATAAAGCTGCAAACCAAACCTTTCTTTGAATGCTCGAGTGTGTGACGACAAACAACAACTCAAGAATATTCAATTTTGGGATAGTTCTAAACTAACAGATACGTTTACTGGTTCACCCTTCAACTTCGACAAATCATTCGCTGCCGTCTTCTCAACACGCTTCTTAATCACTCTCAGCGCCCTCAGCTGCGCTTCGTCCGGTAAAGAAATCGTTTCACAATACACTCCATCGTTCCATCCCTTGGCTTGCATCGTCCAATCGAACGGAATTTGCTATAAAATAACACAACAAAACACGGAAAAACATTCGAAAAATACTTGAACACCTTCTCTCGTACAATCTCGTGAGCACGCTCATCCAGGCTCAGATTCGTTACTTCCTGCGATTTAAACTTCCACTCTCCTGGCTTCGCCTTCTTGTAAAGAGATTTCAGAATCCCGTCCGTTTCATCTCTTTGTAATGCCGAGATCATGAACAGCTCTTCGTTCTCCCATTGCAATTGCTCCAACGTCGGGTTTGCTGTCTATCCCATTAAAAAGCAGCCATCTCTCGAAACCTTGTTAATCATCTCCATCTTCTTGTGCCAGATCCACTCGGAAAGTGTGTTGGAAAGATCGAGCAGTTTGATTTTGGGTTCGACGAGGTCGGTTTTGTTGAGAGCGATGTACAACGGCGCGTTGTTGTGGTAGGAAATCTCGCAGGACTTGTTCAAAACTTCGCGTTGCAGCGGCGTCAAGGGCATGGAGGCATCGAAAAGCTTGCAGTTAGATCGAATTATTCAAAAAGAAATACGGTGATCAAAGCGTCTAACGACTCGAGAGTGGTTTCGGAGACATTACCAAGATGCTTCTCGTATTGATTCGCTGTGCTGATTGTGAGACATATAAGCATAATTTAGATACGAAGCTGAGGAAATTCCAGGAGTATCGTAAAAAACAAACTGAACATTGTCCATGGTACGAATCCCCAGCATGGAGCTTCGTGTCGTATTGGGTTTGACGCTCACTGCTGACACATTTTGGCCTATTAACGCATTCAACAACGTGCTCTTTCCCACGTTTGGACTGCCACAAAGTCCAACAGAGAGACTACGCTTTCCATTATAATTCTATATCAGAGATACGCACAACTGAATTACAGAATAGTCCACAGAATTAGCTTCAGCAGCATAGGCAATTGTTGGATCATCAGTGATCATATTAAGAGGTATTTGATCCGTTGCATCACGATGAACCTTTGGGCGACTCGATATAATACGAGAGACCGAAGATAGAATTTCATCACTATTTTAGAAACGGAACTATGGTTCTACCAGTCTTTATCCACTTCAGATTCAGAATGTTCCCCCAATTTTGTCCCTTCTGCAGAAACAGCCTTATATGCAAAAGAACGAACGAACGGAGTGATACGCGCCGGAAACAACCGAGAGGAAAAAAGACGAATCATTCAAACATTAAAAGGCAAAAAGGAAATGCCCCTGCCGTGATTCGAACACGGGTTATCACGGCCACAACGTGATGTACTAACCAACTATACTACAGTGGCACCTGTTTTGGTTCCCAAATAGAGCTTGATATTCATACCGTTGTATCTCCTTCACTTATATATCTATTCACTGGACCTTACGACTATGTCCGTTGGGGATTGTAGATATGGCATCGACCAACGGGTAGACGTACGATGGGATGATGACAAGTTTCGTAGGTTTTGATTTCCCAATTTATTTTCAGACAGCGGAGTGGTCCAGAAAATCAGAGAGCATACCAATGACAACGGAATCGTAGAGATGGAGTACTACATACATTATGACGATTGTTTATTATTGTTGTTGTTTGTAATATTTTCCTAGATGATAAACGAATGGAAGGTTGGGTTCCAGCTAAAAGGATCTCATTGTTCAACAAGAAGAGCTCGAAACGACCCCGCGAACCGGATATTGGCTTTAGCGAGAAGGTAGTTGATTCATTTTTTGTATGATTATCCAGAAGCCGCAAAGTGAACCTACTTTAGTAGAAAAGGATCATGCCGAACTAACGAAAGTGACTTTTATGATTTGCTCATCATTGATAGATTAAACATATAGAGTACATCGAGATTGGGAAGTATGAAGTCGATTGTTGGTACTTTTCTCCCTATCCAAAAGAGTACCAGGTTCCTAGACTATATATATGTGAATACTGTCTCAAATACTTCAAAACCGCACAGGATCTAGATAGACACAGTGAGATCTGTCCAATGTACTGTCCTCCTGGTTCGATGCACATTTCGCTGTTTATGTATAGGTCCAGAGATCTACCGCGATGGGAATCTCTTAATGTACGAAGTGGATGGGAATGAAGAGGTGCTCTATTGTCAGAACTTGTGTTTACTAATGAAACTGTTTATCGAACATAAAACTATCTACTACGACACATATCCCTTCTATTTCTACGTTCTCTGCGAGGAAGACGAGGAGGGCAGCCACATTATCGGGTTCTTTTCCAAAGACAAAAACTCACAAGAGGGTTACAATCTCGCTTGCATTTGCTGTCTGCCCTTTTTGCAGCGATCCGGCTTTGGAAGCTTCTTAATTTCGTTCTCGTATGAACTTTCCAAGCTAGAAAACAAGGTACAGTCATTGAAAATTGTCGAGACTAGATCGGATCTCCCGAGAAACCGCTGTCAGATCTGGGTCGGATTAGCTATCGTCGGTTCTGGACGTTTATGATCATGCAAACGCTGCGAGAAACGGATTGCTGGTGCAGTTTGAAGGACATTTCGATGAAAACGTCGATCAAAATCGAAGACATCGTAAGCACGTTGGATACGCTGGGGCTTTTGAAAGTGTGGCGAGATCAATACGTTGCTGCGATTTCGAAGGATGTAGCGATGATGGAGAACAGATTGAATGTAGATCGTCGACAACTACTTCAAAACCACCAAGGTTCCCACCAATCTTTGCAAACCCGAAAAGCTCAAGTGGACGCCGCATCCGCCTCCTCCCCCTTCGAATTGATGTGTTTGTTCACAAACAGAATAAGAAAGACGAGCCCGCTTGGGGAAAAGACGATCCTCTTCGCTATCAGAGTCGTTTTCATCGCGATTGGGGGCATAAGCTCGCGAAAGAGTGTCCCAATCGAATCCGTCAGGCAAGTATTGGCCTTGGAAAATGATGTGGAACGTTACGTTCTTATCGTAAGGGAAGTTCTCTAAGAGTTTGGGTGTGATGATGAAGGATTGGGGAGGAATGAAGTGGCTATTGCCTCGGAACAACAACTGCTGCATCACGTATCGTTCGTTTCGCGCATCCATATTCTGATTAATCTACGATAAAAAGAAAAATCCATTCCTCACCTCATCGATAAAACGAAACGGAAAGGACACCATTTCTTGAAGAGACAGCAAAAACAGAATCGTAGACAACGATTTCTCCTACGGCTCACTCGCAATTCCCACATCTACGCCTCCAGATTGCACCTGGCTATTCAGACTTTGGACCTCCATTTCGTCTCGAAAACTGACCTTGATGTTCAATCCGATCGTAGAGAAATTGTCCGGGTTGATCAACTCAACGGTGCCATTGCACTTGATGTTCTTCATAAACGACCCGAAGTTTTTGTCCAGTCGACTCACGAGGCGTTTCAGCGATTGCTTGAATTGCTGCTCTTTCTGACTGATGTTGGAAGTATTATCGTTCATGTTCGTTCTGCGATTTATTCGTTCTCCATTCATTCCTCACTTCAGTTCGTCGATTTCGGCCTTTAAATGTGCGATCCGTCTCTCTTTCTCTTCATATTCCTGAATGTATCGCTCATTCACTCGGATTTCATTCAGTTGCTCTTCGATTAAATGAAGCGAAGCCTATCATTCATGAACCTTTCTTTGTGAATTCTTACATAGCAAGCATCGCGATCCCGCTCGAATTGACAACTAAACACTTCTCTCACCAGGTCTGTTTTCTCCATTTGCTGGCACTTTTCGGTTCCGCATTTACACGTAAAATCCTTGGGATTTGGATTATTTCCACAATGAAAAAGTCCGCTTTGTGTGTAAATGTATTTTCGCATCTCCTTGTCTCTCTCTTTGACTTCCTCCATTTTGCGATCGATCGCCTCTTTCTGCCTGATGAGCTTTTCCAGCTCTTCTTCCTGCTTCGATAAATCCGTTTTTAAGTCTTGCAGCTGGTATTGCCGCGCCTCGAAAAGCGATGAAAGCGTTTTCTTACACACCGAAAAACGTAGAGCGCTCTGAACACACTCCAATCGCTTCTTCATAATGGCTCGCTTTTTCTCCAGAATCGACTTGAGCTCCGCAATATAGCGATCTTTCTCCTGTTTGAATCCTTCCGACAGACTTTGCTCGAGCACTCGAATCTGCGATTGAGTCGAAAGCAGAGCAAACGAACGTCGCTTTGAAGTCTGTCGATTTGGTTTTTCGTTACGATGAGCTGCGATTTTCGAGCTTCGATTTGCCGCTGCTCTTTCATTTTCTTACCGATTTGGTTGTCTATATCTTTGGTTGCATCCTCATTTGTGGCGATCTACATTTCACCACGAGTTAAAAACCCGAACAGCTTTCTCGATTTCTTTCAACGAGCTCTCGATTTCGGTTTTTCGCGCCGCCAATTTCGTCTACACTGAATCAAACTCGCGAAAACGAACGGATTCTTCGGGCTGCGGCAAATCAGCACACAAAATCTTCGCTGCTTTGAGTTTGAACGAATTGAAAAACATTTCTCTTCGATTTCTCTTCTTGTTGATGTACCGCGAGAGCAGCAATCGATGTCTATCCATCACTCCTTCTCTCCCAATCGATCTACTGCAGAGTGGGAATGAGAACTAGAATGCCTTGATCCGAATCCATCAAACTCTATCCATCAACGTTTCGATTCGATCGAACTTCGAAGGGCTGCAGATTGGAAGGAAAGTTCCAAGGACGATCCACCGTCACTGCGGCTGCGATCGACGAGTTATTGTACAGAGCTCGACGCACAGCTTCGGGACAGCGAATCAGCTCTCCGAGGGGCGCATCAAAACCGAATCTTCGCAGACTTTCGCTGGAGAAGGTGTTATCGCAAGGAATGGTTTCCTAGAATCAAGAGTGGAGCGTTTGGTTTACATCCACCATTACGATATTCGCTTTGATTCTCTCTCTTTTGAAGCTTTCTAACAGGAAATTGTAATCTTCGTAGCACTGCACCACGAACGACAGCAACAAATGATTCGAAATCGTATTCTCGAGCCACGTGGCATGCAGTGGATTGACAAACCGGATTTCGTTGAAAATCGGGCCATACACGACGTTTTTAAACTCCTTTCGATGTTGATCCAGCCACTGCAGGCCTTTGTAAGTCTCCTATTCATCACACGTTCGCTTCACTTTCACCATATCGACGTGCTGAATGTGCGAACGCTGCCGTTCCTCCAAGGAAGTCAACTGTCTCAACCGTTGCTCAACCTGCACTTTCTCTTGTTTCAAATCTGCTTTCTTTCGTTTCAGGTCGTCGTTTGGCTCGAGAAGCTTTTCTTTCTCGAGTCGAAGCTGACTGATTTCCGCTGCAATGCTGCGAATACTCGTTTTCAATGTTTCCAAATCCTCAAAGGACTCCAAGCTGTCTTTCAAGTCGTTCATTTGTTGTTTTTTCTTTCGTAGCTATAGTTCAATCAAAAACAATTAATAAATCCGAACCTCCACTTCTTTCGAGTGGCGATCGAAATTCAAACTCGCAATCTGGGCTTCGATTTGAAAATACTTGAATAAAAGCCAACGCAATCACTCTTACATGATTGTATTCCTGGTGATCCTTCGTGTCCAACTCCGAGAGCAACCTTTGTTGCCGACTCAGTTTGGATTCCTCAATGTCGATTCTGCGTTTCATTCGATTTCTCTGCGATTACTTGGATTGGATGCTTCCAGTCACTGCTTCGAGTTCCTCAATTTTCGCTTTTAATCGATTGACTTGAGGTAGAAAATCGCGAATTTGGAGTTGAATGGGTGCTCGCTGAGCTTTTAACTCTCTTCGACGGTTTAAGATTTCATCGAATTCAAGCATTTTTATATGGAGTGAGAGGAGGCTTTTCTAGTGTCACAGTTCTAGCTCGATGGTACTTGATGAAGCATCTGCTCTCGCTTCTCGAATTTATTCTTTTCACGTTGTAGAATTTGGTTTTCTTTGATCAGTGTTTCGAGTTCCGCCGATTTTTGAATGATATCGCTGTGGATTGAGTTTCGTGCCTGTTGTGATTTGATCAATTCTTGGTGAAGTTCATACTACACAAAATAAAATCAAAAAACGGCATGTACAGATTCCTCCCCGCCTACCGATCGCTCAAATTCGAAGAGACGATCTTGGGGAGATTGATTGACAAAATCGGAAACACGATCTTGGGGTAGGAATTGACACAGATTGCTTAAATCGATCTTCAACGCTCTACGCAAAGACTTGAGTTTGTCCTTTTTTATATTTTTGCCGTTTAAGTAGTAATCTGCGGACCCTTTGTGGATTCGTACTTCGATTTCAATATCACTATTCTCTCCTCGTAATAAAATCTGTTTTATTAGGCAGAACATGTACCCCACTTTTACGCGCGCCTGCTTTTCTCCGTACCGTATATATTCTTCCAATTTATTGCCTCTCGATAACAACCGTAAATCCTCTCCAAGCACTATACACACAGCACACGAGATCGTGCTCTACAGCCTATTCTTGCAAACAAACTATCCTACTTTGCCGGATCCGTTTTGTCCGAGAATAATATTCAACCGAGGACTTGCATTGAATACACAATGACGAAATGTCATAAAATTCTCCATTTCGAGGCTTATAATGCTGAACATTAGATATTTCAGTTATTGGTTACCTCCCCGTTTGAAATTCTGCATATTCATCCCTAGAGACCATTATAATGAATAACTGAACTCGCTGACCATCCTCTCCTTTTGCATATTGAACAAACAAATCCCATTAGGCACTTTCCATCTGTCCCTTGACCAGTGCTGCGTAGAACTCGCACTTCTTCAGCAGTTCCGCGTGCTTTCCGCTGTCCACGATCTTCCCTTCGCTCACCACAAAGATGACATCGCTGTCCACGATCGTGCTCAGTCGGTGGGCCACTGTGATCACCGTGCAGGGATGCGTCGATCGCCACTTCTCCAATGCCTCCAAGAACTTGTCCTGGTTTTCGCTGTCCAGCGCGCTCGTCGCTTCGTCCAGCAGCAGTACGTGCGGCTTTCGAAGAATCGCGCGAGCCAACGCCAATCGCTGTTTCTGTCCTCCCGAAACCGACTTTCCGGTCGCTCCGAGATCCGTTTCGAATCCATCCACCATTTCATTGATGAAATCCATGCACAACGCTTGCGTGCAAGCGTCCATCAGCTCCGCTTCGGACACTTCACGATCCACTCCCATTACCAAATTCTCGCGAATCGTGCCGCTGAACATGCACGGCTCTTGGTTCACCGCGCCCAGCAGCGAGCGATACGAGTCCAAATTGACGTTCTGCACATTGACTCCGTCCATCAACACTTCGCCACTCTCCGGTTTGTACATTCGCTGGATCAGCGAAATGATCGTACTCTTTCCACACCCACTGGGACCCACGAAAGCCACAGAAGATCCCTTGGGAATTGAGAAAGAGATGTTCGAAAGAACCGGAGCGTCTGGCCGCGTGGGATACGCGAACGACACATGACTGAAAGTAATTGTTCCGTCCTTCGCCTTCGTAGAAATCGCGCGCGCTGCATCGTTTTCGTTCTCCATGTTAATCACAGAGAGGAGATTGTAGGCTGATCGTTTGGCGAGGTCGTTGGAGGCCGTGTATGCCATGTTAAATCCGACAGTGGCTGCACAAGTGTTGATTGCCATGTACACAAACATCATGTGAGCGAAGTCAATTTCTCCCTTCTGCAGCATGGAGAAGGCGACTAAAAGAACAACGACGTCGTAAGCACAGGGCATAAGGAGCGAAAGACCCTGTCCGATGGCTCCGCGAATATATCGCTCGGTTGTTTTTTTGTTGGTGGGCTCAAGTTTCTTCATGAGTTGATGACTGAGAGTGTTTTGGAGATTATAGGCATGGACCGTGTGGATGTTCAGAACGCAATCCGTCAGCTCTCCCGATCGTTCTGTGAGTTCCTTATCAATCTGATCGGACACTTTCGCCATGATCATCCACTGCATGTACTCCACCGTCAGCAAAAACGGCGACATGCACACGGCAACCAGCGTTAACTTCCAGTTTCCCACTGGCGTGAAGCAGACAACCAGCGATATAATCACGAGCAAATAGTTCTCGAAGATCGGTCCCATTCGATCCACCAAATCGCGAACGCGTCGTCCATCGATGCTCAGTCTCGATGTGAGAATGGAGGGAAGATGATTGGGATCGTCGAAGAACGCTAAGGGCATTGTGATGTATTTTTTATAGGAGTGTTCGCGGACACTGGCGATTAAATGCTCGCCGACAATGCCGCCTGCATCCCAGTAATAAATGGTAGCGAGGAAGTTGATGACGCCGAATCCGAGAAGAATATACACGCAGATCATTCCCTTATCCCAGAGCAAATTCAAATCGGAAGTGAAAAGCAATTCCTGGAGAATCGCTGTACAGTAAGCGTAGATCGTTGGGTAAATCGCTCGAACGATGTTTCCTATGAAACTTGTCCAGAAGAGCCATTTGTATTGGGGGATCAACTGCAAAAGCTGAAGCATGTTCACCTTTTTATACTCCAAATCCTCCTTCTCTTTCTCTTTTTCTTTGGAAGAGTCTTTTTCGTTGTTTCCTTCAGGAATGGTTGAATCCTTCAGACTCATATTGTGACTACTATGAATCGAAGCAGTTCGCTCCTTTTCAATGCGAATCTCCATTTCATTTCCTGCTATTCCATTCATTTCCTTTTCCTTTTCCTCTTCTTCCTTTTCCTTTTCTTCTTCCTCTTGGCTTTTGTACAATCCCGCATAGATTCCGCCCTTCGCTAGCAAGCTTTCATGATCGCCTTCCTCCACGATCTTTCCTTCCTCCACCACCACAATGCGATCACACGATCGAATGCTGCTCAGCCGATGCGCCACGATCACGATGCTCAGTCCCTTTCCCTTCGCTTCGTTCTTTCTCCGGATCGTTTCCATCGCGTTCTGCACGATTTTCTCGCTCTGCGAATCCAGCGCGCTCGTCGCTTCGTCCAGCACCAGAATTCGCGGGTTTCGAATCAGCGCGCGGGCGATAGCAATACGCTGCTTCTGTCCTCCGGACAGCGAGCTTCCCAACTCGCCCACATAGGTGTCGTACCCTTTGGGGAACGATCGAATGAACGCGTCGGCCTCCACCAGCTTCGCGGCTTCCACCATTTCCTCCTCGGTGCAGCCCTCGCGTCCATAGAGCAGATTCTCGCGAATCGTTCCGCTGAACAGCACGGGCTCCTGCGCCACATAGCTGATCTGATCGCGAATCCACGCCGTCGAGAGCGTCGTCACATCGACTCCGTCCCACGTGATCGTTCCCGCCGTCGGAGCGTACAATCGCATCAAGAGTTTCAAGATTGTGCTCTTTCCGCTGCCACTCTCGCCCACGATTCCGATCATTTCGTTCTCGTGAATGGTGAAGTTGAGCTGCTTCAGCACTTGCGTGTCACGTGAAGCGTACTTGAAGTCCACGTTCTTGAATACGATATCGCCTCGATTGCTTTCAGGCGTTTTCCCCATGAATCCGCTCGAATCCATAACGTCTTCATGCTCGATGACTTCGAGGAAATACGCTGCGGACATTCTCGATTTGGCGAGATTGATCAGCGAGGAAAAAGACCCACCGATTCCAGGAAATGACTGCAGAATCGCCATGATCACAACCACAACTTCGCCTCCCACGAGACAAGAGTTGCTTCCCTCATCGAACCAGCAAGTATCCACGCGATTACAGATCTCTTTACAGGCATCTGACAGTGCTGTGAGGTTCTGGAAGCACACATCGACAGAGTTGTCCATGCTGGTAGTGCAATTGGAAGCGAACAAAAGAGAAGGGAAATCGGAGCGTTGATGATTGATGATGAGAACTGCAGAGAGAAACACAAGAGCGTTCGCCAGTTGCGTTGAGAAGTTCATTGCTGCGAAGGAGTGCACGGAGTGGAAGACGCAACGCAGAGCATCTTTGCAGCAGGTATTGATCACTTTGAGATAGCGAGTGATGAACTTTTCCTCGGCTCCAAGACTCGCAACCGTTTTGATATCGCGGAAAGTCTCTTCGGCAAGAGAATCGGCGTTTTGATGTTCTCGTGCCATAACTTCGGCGTATTCGACATATACGCTATTGAATTTGTAGCTAAAATAACCGATTAGAGGAGACACAATCAATGTCAGAAGGGTTAACAACCAATCCTATGTCCTCAATGTATAAACGCATTTCGACTCGAGTAAGACCGATGATAATACCGCAAAAAAGTATCGATAGGGACCGCACCAAAACTCCTAAGCCAGGACCTAAGCCTTCCACAATTCGTGATGATTCTTCGCTGAATCGTTGTCCTAAGCGTCCAGGACTGAATTTTTCAATAAATTCGACATCTCGTCGAAACAATGCCGCCAAATAATGGTCACGATAATGACGAGTAACGTTTTCTATGGAACATTGCAATAAATGCCAATAGTTTACCAGCAAAATAGCCGAGGCAACTCCGCTCACAAAACGCAAAGACCGCAGCAAAGAATAAGAAAAGAACAATGGTACCAAGTAAAATTCGCGATCTGCCGTAATCGGAATCCTGAACATTCAGCTCATCAAGCAATTCTCCATAAAATATGAGGGAGAGTGGCGTCAGAACACCTGACAGTATGGCAACTATGAATAAAAGTAATAGTCGCATGAATATACAGAAGAAACCGAGTAGCAAGAAGGCGATCTCCTTCTTGGTAGCATACTTGAAAAATAACGTTTTCACTGAGACTGGCTTTACATTTTCTTTCGATGGTTCGATTTTCACCTCTGTCGGTATTGTCTGTGAGTCGCCCTTTCCATCTTTTGACGAACTCTTATGAGCAGCAAGTTCGACCTCATTTGCTGACGACATTTTCAAGGTAAGTAAAAATTGTGGTCCCAGTCCTATCTATCAAGAATTTTCCTGGAAACTTTCTTGTGAACAAGAGCGTTTTTATGCAAAGATACGTATTGAAGATTCAAAATTGATGGAGCTTGATAGGAAACGATGAATAGGTTAAGCAGAGAAACGAAAAGGGTAATTTGAGTGGACTAACATGAAACGAGGAAATAGGGGCTGTAATTCGAATAAGGAGAGTAGTATTAATGCATGGAGACATAGAACCTAGGCTTTTCCAATAATAGAGTAATAAGATATTCTTATAATAATCATTATGTATAAAGAACCATGTCTGACAGAATAATGGGTTCCTGGATTTGATGATACCTGTTATCATTGTTTTGTGATATCTTCAAAGTTTTTACTCTACTAAGGAATATTCAATAATTTTTGATTTGCAAATAGAGTACATGCAACTCATGTTCAAACTGTGTTGTGTTTTTACGCATCAAATTTAATTCTTTTGCTACGAATTACAACGAACAGCAATTCACGGTATAATTCATGCAATCCAAACCCAGTTATTGCCTTTTACAAATACTATTGAATTTCACGATGCATTTATAACAAAAATAAAAAAGTTCGAATTATCGGCTGACTATTATAGGAAGATACTATCTGAACGATCAATGCAAAAAAAGTCCCCCATTTTTGCCATTTTCCTATTGAGCTAAGAAATACGTTATGTCTGGATCTGACATATTATGGCAAGGGTAAGCTGTCTTGGCTGCTTAGGATAACCAAATAGATGGCTATTATCTCCTGGAAAGTCCCAAACAGACTGGAAAAAGGTATCTTACATCCCATTGTGGATAACCTTGTATAGAGATATTTTCTGTTCACTTCAAAACAATTGTCCTATCATGATGATCCATCTTCTCCTCCCAAAGGTATTTTTGAGTTTTCATCATCTCCCTGTAAGTCCTCTAATTCCCTATATTTATATTTAGATATTTGTTGGTTGAAAGAAGGTGTGAACTATTGTCGACAACAATATCTCTTCTCTCTGTTTGAGTAATTGAAATCTACCACTTGTAGAGGTACAGGATCGGCGCCTACCTTGGCTGTTCATGATCCTTCGAACATTTTTGTACTGTTCACTAGCACCAATATTATTCACATTGGCTGCTCAGATACGCAGACTCCCAAAATTCGTGAGGCTTTGAAGAATATTTTCCGTCCCTGCTCGGTGATCGCCAGTTGCGAAGTATCTCGAAAGAAGAACAAGTTCCAGTGGGTCAAGAACTTTCTGGTAGTACTGACATCGCGCGATTTCCTTCTCTATGAAAACGAAAAGTACAAGTGCTTCATGACTGCTATTCCTGCATAGACTGGACACGCTCTTCTTCCGTCTCTCTCCCACCGAACCCACTCCTACCGTTCAGCTGCTCACAGGCACAGAGCAGAACTACAAGGCGCAGATCGAGGTGAAGTTCGGCGACAAGACCTTGCTTCTCAGCACTGGATCGAGTCCGAGCAGTCCGTTTTTCGTTTCGATTTTGACTCCTAGGTCAGCAGATCGCTGCGGATCTTTATCATGTCATGTTCTTCGCCCTTACGGGATATCACCAAGTGCTGCCTCCTCCCAACAGCATTGCGTGGAGCCTTCCATTGATCACTGCCCATTTGAACGGGTTTTGCATCAAAGGCATTTTCGAGCGCGAAGCAGTGTACCAAGGAATCCCCGAGGAAATCCGTCCCTGGGTCGAGCCATTGGTTTGCTTGTGATCGATAGATGTGGGACCAGCTCTGCATGCATCTAATGAAATCGACGTTCGTCGCGAATTACGACAATATCCGCACGCTGGTGACGTCGGACCATTCTCTTCCCCAGGATTGGCGCGATTGTCTCTCGCAAATGGCCGTTGAGGAGCCGTTGCGAGAGCAGGTCGAGTTGCTGTGTCGCTACGCTCTCATTACTTCGATATCCTTTGGGTTTGGTGGGTTATGACCCTTGACTTCACTCCGGCAAGCTGTCACCGAATCCAATTTGCCGATTGGCTGCGTATTTGTTGAAGAGCTTGCCGCAAGAAACGGCGATCGTGGTGTTCCAGACACTGCTTCACCGCATTCTGCCCATCTGGCTGCAGGACAATTACTTCCAGATCGTAGAATCGAGCGCTCCTTTTGAGTAGATCGAAACGAACGTCTTCCAGGACGTGTTTTCGCAGATCAACCCGGAGTTCGCGCAGTGGCTGAATTCGCGCGGAATTCGCTGGCAGCCAATTCTGAACTCGTGGATCACGTCTCTGTTTATCGTGATGAACAAAACGATCGTGAATCGCCTGTGGAGCGTGTTGCTGTTTGAAGGCTACGGCGTTTTATTGCCGATGATCATCTCTCTGATTATGAGCAATCGCCATCTTCTCAACTCTCCCAAAGCCAGTCTCAACATGCAATCGTGGGTTTTGTGATTTCACTGCGAGAGTAGCTATCTGGAGCACGAGTTTCTGCCTTCGATCACATCCATCTCCGATATGATGAAGAATCTTCGCATCCTCGTCGCTCCCAATCAGCCGTCCTCTCGCTTCTTTGACGTCGCCTTCATCAAATCGCTTCGTTCGAACTATCTGTTCTCTCAGCTTCCCTTCTTTCATTTGGTAGAAACCAGCATTTGCAGGAGTTCAGGAATTCCGAAAGTACAACCTCCTCGAAAGTCACGCTGCTCAATACGCAGCTCGCGCAGTCGGCCAGCTATCAAAAGACGATCGACACGTTCCTCCAAGACGTGGACCGACACATTATGGACATTCGCCGTTTTGGTTTGATTGGGTTGTCTGAGAGGTAGAGGCATCGATGAACGATCCCGATGTGCGACGCCAGCTGCTTCGATTGGAGCAGATTTCGCAGCTGTTCCACGGGATTGGGCCGCGCGTGCAGATCTTGGATCAGAACGTGAAGAAGTATATGAAACTGGCGGAGTTGCGGAGAGTAACGATGCTGGATGCGATTGACACGATCACGACAGTGGACCAGTCGACTTGTAGGCGTGTGTGAAGAAGGAGTGAGAGATAGATTGTTTGCCGGACGATACGCAAGTAGCTGCGATTTTGGAGAACCTTCATGACTCGTATTTGAACATGAAGCTGATTGGGATTCGCGCGGATGTGATTAATGTGCTGCTTGCTGCGCAGATTTGCTTGTGGAATCTTATCAGTGTGGGATGGGAACTGCACGAAATGAGACTGCGGTAGGCGTGAAGAGTGGATGCGAGGCTAGGAAGGTGCACAAAGAGATGAGCTGGGCGAACTCGACGGGGAAGGAAATGACGATCACTTCGAAAGAAGACTATTTGTCTTCGACATACGACAAGGCGCTGCAAATCGATCAGTTATTCACGGAATCGTTGTTGAAGTTCCTTCAAAACACGCGAAAAGACCTGTTTGGTACAGCAATGACGGATGTGGATGTGGAAACGAGGCAAGTGTACACGAAGATTATGAATCTGTGGAAGGAAAAATCGGAGGAAGAAGAGCTGGAGAAGGAATTTCAGGATCTAACGAAACAAACAGGATATAAAGGAATCTCAATTTAAGTGATAATAGATTGTTTGAGTGTAATAACTTTCTCTCTCTCTCTTTCTTTCTTTCTACTTGGCCGACTTTTTGGCTTTTTTGGAGAGTCGCTTCATCACAGGTTTGCTTTTTTCCGCAACCTTTTCCTCTTCCTTCACTTCTTCTTTTTCTTCTTTTTCTTCTACTTTGTCTTGCACTGCTTCCGGTTCTTTGACGTTGCTCTTCAGCGCTTTCATGACTTCTATATCTTCGTTCATCACTTTATCCAGATAATCATAGTGAATACCCATTTTCTCTAGTTTTTCTTGCACACTTTTATTGAATGCATGGCGATGATTCAAAATCTTGAGAACCTTCTCGGCCGTGAGTTTCTTTGGCTCCGCAACTTTCTTTTTACGAATTACGCGGAACCGGCGGTTCGCTCCCTTCCAGAGGTCTTCATGAATGTCAGAAACCTGCATCACTTCGCACTTCAGCTTATGACCAAACAGAATATAATTGTTCATCGTGTTCATCACAATCTCAGCAATTTGAGGCGTCTCGAACTCAATGAATGCGTAGTGCTTCGACGCTCCGGTTTTCTTGTTTCGGGACAACCGGAGGCGCTTCACCTCACCAAACTGTTCAAAAAACTTCCGCATTTGAGGCTCCTCGAACTCAGTCGGAATGTGACCAAGATAAATGACAGATGACTTCTTGGACGTCTTTTTCGTTGGTTTTGTCTCCGTTTCCATTGATTCTAGTCGCTTCAAGCAAGTCTTGGTATTCGAGTGCCCTTCGAGTCCAAAAATCGGCCATATTTCTGGAAAGAAATGTTGTTCCAATTTTGGGCAATTACGAAGATTCCCGCGATTGCTGCATTTACTGCGTTTTTATGTAGTAATTATCAATCACTTTATTGTGGTACTATCTGTAAGCCGAAATGTCGGAATCTTTGTTGGAAGGTGCTGGCCCGATCGACAAGGATCAATCGAAAGATATTTCGCAAATGGGACATCCAGTGTCTGGAGGCATGATGATGGGATCTAGGGAGGCAGGAAGTCCTTATCTCTCTATGATCCCGCAGGATGATGTCGATCCGGAAGCTGAGTTATCCTATCTCGGTCCTAGCTCGCCGTTACCTCCTCAGGGAAATACTCAAGATATGTACTATGACGATGAATTGCTACAAGATGAACTCGCAATGAATTTCCAACCTCAAGTTCTACCTTCTCAGGCGCGAGATCATATCCGTTCTGTGTATAATAGAGGCAACTACGCGATAGGAGAGCAGAAGAACCGCGAGTCTTTCCCCTATCTGGAAGGGAATGGCTATTCGAGTTTTTCGAATCAGCCCTCCGTGGACTATCCTTCTAGTTATCAAGACAGTTACTCATTGCCGCCTCCACGTACAAGTCCCCGTCCAACGACCAATTTAGGATTATCGGAAGATGTGATGGATAACAGCCTGTTCATAGGGTCAATCCCTCCTGGTGGCGGAAGTAGCAGTTTCTCTCGAGGATACAACGCTCCTTCCCTGGACAACGAAGATGCCTATTCTCCGCGGCCCTTCGACATCCCGCCGCAGCGCCCTCACTACCGAGACCTCGATCCCGTGCCTCACGACATGCGCTACGACTATGGAGGCCAGATGTCGTATTTCCCGGACGGCGGCGTGGGGATCGGAACGCGCAACTACCGCAACTCTCTGATGTCCGAGCCGGAAGGCTGGACGCGCTCCCACTCGCTCTCTCGCAACATGAACTTCGTCGACACGTACGACATGGATCCTGCGCGTCCCTACGGCTACAGCGCGCTGCGTCCGCAGGTCCCAACGCACTCCTCCCAGCTCTCTCTCAACGAGATGAGTCTGCGCCGCGACTTTGAAAGCATGCCGGACTTCGCGTACTCGGGGAAGCTCAGTCCGCACCATCTCCCGACGCGCGATCCTTACGCGGACGAATACGAAGGCGGCGGTGGAGGGTATCTTGGCAGACCGGGAATGGTGGAGAATCACTCCTACATGGGGTCGCTGGGGCTGCTGGACACGGAGAAAGACCTGCCCATGCCGCGTGCGCGATCGATGATGTATTTGGGCACGCAGGACGATGTGGACTACAACGACTCTGCGCTCCTGGACGATTTCCACGCCATTCGCCAACCCGCGCCGCAGGACGCCGCGCCGATGCAATCGGGGCCGGAGCCCACCTCGAGCCTTCGCAGCAGTCTGGATGAATCGGCGCTGGAGAACGCAGCGAGGAAGCCGGACTCGCCGGTCCTCTCCCACACGGCGGACTCGGTGCACTCGGCGGATTCCTCCAACGTCGCCGAGCTGAAGCAGGAAAGCGAGTCGGAGAACAGTGTTCCCGCGCCCGCGGACAGCGACTCCAAGTCCTGGACGAAGGTCTCGACCCGTTCCGAAGGCCGCACGCCTCGCATGGACCCGAAGTTCGCAGGGAAGAGCGACAGCAAGTTCGGCTCCCCCTCGGACGACCAGCGCGCGCCGCGCCGCTCCGTCTCCCCCATTCCCGAGTGGCGTTCCCGTCCCAACCGCTCGCCCCGCGCCCAGGGCGATCGCTCCTACGCCCCTGGCCTCGCCTCTGGCCCCGGCCCCGACGGCGCTCGCTCGCCTCGCCCCGCCAGCGCGCGGTCGCCGACCTTCTCGGGCAGCCGCTCGCCGCGTCCGCGCGACAGCCGCTCGCCGCAGCCGCCCTCCGAGCACCACGGACAGCGCGGCGCGCGCTACTGGGACGGCCGCTACTGGGAGGGCGACCGCCACGCGGGCAAGGCTCACTTCCAGGACGGCAATGCTCACCCGTCGTACGGAGAGCACGGACAGCCCGCCAATGCTCGATTCGGAGGCAGTTCGCGCTCGCAAGGGCCGCGCGATCGCTCGCCGACGTCGGAACGGTCGCGGTCGCCGTACCCCGGGCAGGCGAAGGGGAGCGGAGCGACGGAAGGCGGGTATCGGCGCGACGACATCCCTTCTACTTACCAGTTTGCGTGCCGCGACTTTGAGAACGGAATTTGTCTGCGAGGCGATGCGTGCAAGTTCTACCATGATCCGAAGAAAGGTAGGGATGGAGGAAGGGGGTGAGGAGTAGCGATTACGTCGCCTGCTGTGGGCATTGCGATGGAGGGGAGTCACATGTAGAAGATCCCGATCTGTCACGACTATCAGCGAGGAGAGTGTAATCGAGACAACTGCCGGTTCCGTCATCCGGGAACGTGGGAATGCTTGGGGAAAGTGAGGTCTAGACACAAGGATAATGTGATGTTGGGACTCGAGGATCCTGCGACCCCGGACGAATTGGAGACAATTCTGAAGCAGTACAGTTCTACTATCAAGCCGCGCAATTTTTCTGGTTAAGTTTTTCTTCAGAATTGATTGCTTTTGAGTGTTTGTTGGAGGAAAGTCGATCGTTTGTGAGATGAGTGGTATGTGTTGTCTCTGGTGGAGTGAGAGCCATAGTTCATGCAGATGGAACGAAATGTTCCAAGTATTGCAAAAGTAAGCAAACTCAGACCTAGAGTTGGTAATCTTGTAGATTTAAAACCAAGCAAACCGTTACTTCGTGGTTTGGCCAACCTAGGAAATACCTGCTTCCTAAACGCATCGCTACAGCTTCTGGCTTCATCGGAGCCTCTTATAGAGTGCATCTGTTCATGCCTCGCGCAAATCCAAGCCGATGAAACGGAAGAGTTGAAGAAAGCGTGTACTTTCACCCAGCAATTAGCCGAAATCCTAGAAGGTATCGAATCGAACGTTCTTTTTTGCTAGATATCACCTACAATCCGACCTTGTTGATTTTTTCGGGTAGTTCGTTTTATGATTTGTTCACCTCTCTTTTTCCTTATTTTGGAGATGGAATGCAACATGTATTCGCTCAATGTTGTGCTTTACCCGAAGGATGCCCTGGAAGCCTTGCAATCGATTTTAGAGCAACTGAAAAAAGATGTTGACACGCTGAACAAGGCAATACAACAGCAATGGGCCTTGAAAGACTCTGTCGATGCTCTGACGCCTCTCTCCAGGAAATCGGCTCTATATACCCCTATTTCCATCCCAATCGAGGGCCTTCTCTCCAACGTGATGATCTGCTCTCGCTGCGGCAGTCGCCGCCAAATCCGTAATGTCCCCTTCTTCTCCCTCTCCATCCCCATCGCCCGTTTCCCCTTTCCCCTTCTCTCTCTCTCTAGAAACGCCGCCCTGGCGTCTCGACCCCTCCAGTCGCCGTCAGTTCAAGTTCTTCTACCGCGCCCTCACGGACACGAAGGCTCTCCTCAGCCCCGTTCACCCCACGCTTCTCGACTGTCTGCGCAAGTACACCGCGCCCGACGAAGTCGACGGCGTGCAGTGCGAAGGGTCGCCACGCTGCCTCGCTTCAATTCTAGCTGCGGGCTGCTCAACGCCATGCTGGATCCCTCCACCCTCACAGAACGGCCCTTGTCCCGCGATTCCGTCGAGGTGGGTTCGCAGAACCGCGGTGATGTCAAGGAACTTCGAAAAGAACTCGCGCATTCGCTGCATCGCGTGCGGTCGTCGCACGATTTCGACGCGGAGTTTCACCTCCAAAACACGAACGAAACGCTCCATGTCAAGGAGGGACGCGGCACATTCCAGAAGTTCGAGCTGATTGGCCGCCCGCCCCGCACGCTGCTGCTCCATGTGCAGCGTAAAACCGCGGGAATGGGTTTGTTTTCGAAGCAGAACACGTTCGTGGAGTTTCCGGCGTTCTTCGACCTGCGCGAGTTCTGCTTGTTCTCGCAGTCGCTGCCGCTGGGAGCGATGCGCGCGTTGGAGGCGAAGGAAGAACGGGAGGAAATGGATGTGCATCGACGATTGAAGAGAGTGGCGTCGTGGAAGGCGGAGATGAAGAATCCGGATGATGAAGCGACGATTTGGATGCTGGACGAGTATTTCAAGCCCGGAGGAGAGCAGGCGGGACGGCGAAGTCGCAGGGGGAGCTTTGAGAGCGTGGGCTCGGTGTATGAGGTGAAGAGCGCAGCCGATCTTTCGTTCAGCGACGATGAGGGAGGAGCAGAATATAACGATCAGGACGAGGACGAAGAAGAAGAAGAAGAGTGGATGCGGGACAGTCAGGCGATTCATCCGTATATCCGGAAGGGAGCCCTTCGAGGAGGTGGGGCGCCGCTTATTTATGAAATGGTGTCGGTGATTCATCATTTGGGGCTTGGGATGGGAGGACATTATGTTTGTTATCGCCGAGTTCGCACGGATGAAGGAACGAAGTGGTATTTGATGAATGACCAGATTGTGAGAGAAGTGAGTTGGGAGACTGTGAACACAGAAAACATGTAAGTGTGGAGGGAGAGTTCAACGTAGATATATGGTAAATTACCAGCTTGTTGAACATAATAATAACAATTGATTGATTGATTGTATGTGGTATTTGTTAACAAAGAGAAAGAAAAAGAAAAAACCTAAAAACCATTAGACTCGCTCAACACACACTAATGTGAACTTCAGAACGCTTGCTTTTCACCACGGGTCTGTCTGTCGGGTAAACGGCAAACTGCTAGTTCATCCTTGTTCACAAAACAACAAAAACAAAAAACCAAGGCGACTCCACTTACTCCTTCTTACTGCAAAATCTACATAACGTTATACTCCCATCCAAAAACCCTCCCTGCCACAAAGCAAGGAGGCTCAACATCAAGGATAACACTATTTGCACTTTCATAAGAGATAACTGGGAAGCAGTTAGCTCAGTCGCAAGCGCAAGAAAACCATTTCAATACCTACCTTTCTCATGAGAGAAAGAAAAGAAATAATGAGTATCATGGGGAAAGGTAGTTACAAGTCTTGCCGCGGGAATATCACATTCTTTGGGAATCTATGGAATTGTTCCTATCATATCTAAGGGCAATAGATCTAGAAGAGATTTATAAAAACGGCTTTTTTACTTGCAATACATAATGGCAAACGAAAACTGTCCAATTCAACGAAAGCGATCTATTTTCCAAACAAACAATTAGTAAAACATCCCATACGACACTTAAATCTCATCATTTGGAGCAATGTACATTACTAGAGCTTGAGCTTCGAGTATATTCCTTACTGTTATTACCACGCAGGAAGCAGTCATTAAAGCGAGCAACGAACTTTCCATCGTTATACTCCTCAGCCTGTTCCAAAACTACGTTCAGAAAGCCATCTAAACTTCCCAAGATTCCTAAATATGTCAAGCAATAACACGAATCTTATACCCTTGTAGATAACTCCAGTAAAGAGTCCGATAATGACCGGTTTACCATACACCGATGCAATAAATTCCGAATTCACTTTGTCTTCCGCGGACATGTCTTTCTATAGGCAATGAGTTGATTGCGAGTCAAAGTGGTTTGTAGTAAAAATATCACCCATTCTTCGAGGCCTGCTGGTCTAGTGGTATGATTCTCGCTTAGGGTGCGAGAGGTCACGGGTTCGATTCCCGTGTAGGCCCTTTTTTTCATTTTTTATTGTTGTTAATTGTATTTTTGTCGTATTTCTTGTGAAGCCAAAGTACATTTTTTAATTAGACACTAATCGAAATAGAATCGATATGGATATTTTCGTGCAATGTTCACAGTGTGGTGAAAAGATAAGGACTATTGATATGGAGGAGCATAAGAAGAATTGTAAAAACAAAATTGATGAGGTAATCTGAAAATAGGTGTCGTAATCACTAGGATTATATTCCAGTGCTCAACAAAGTGGAAGACGACCTTAGCGATGATTCAGATGAGCAGCTAATGGAGATGGAAGGTAGGATTAATCATTAGGGGATGGTTATTTTAAGAACGTGATCAAATCAGGGCAAATCGGGAGCATTTAAAGGAGTTGCAAAAGAGAAGAGAAAGAGATGAGGAGCTGTTGCGTAAGGAGCGAGAGGAGAGAGCAATTAAGCAACAACAGGAAGAGGAAGAGCTGCGTATAAAATCCGAGAAAGCAAACGAGGAGGCAGCGAAAGTACTTGAGGAAATGGATCGACGCGCTGCCCTTAGGAACACCATAAATGCAAAGGCTAAAGCCCGTAAACCGATTATGAAAAAGGTCGAATATAACAATTTGGAGCTCGAAAATGACGCATTCCGAAACGACGAGCTAGCTAAGATCGAGGAGTTGTTCAAAGCACAAGAAGAAAAGAGAAAGGCACAAGAAGAAGCGGAGCGAAAGGCTCGTGAAGAAGCGGAGCGGAAAGCCAAGGAAGAAGCGGAGCGAAAGGCTCGTGAAGAAGCGGAACGACTCCGAAGAGAAGAAGAAGAGCGAAAGGCTCGCGAAGAAGCGGAACGATTGCAGAGAGAAGAGGAAGAGCGAAAGGCTCGGGAAGAGGCGGAGAGACAGAGACAAATCGCCGAGGAGAATGCTCGCTGTAGGCGTCAAAAAAAGGGAATTGAGTGTAGACACGAATATGCGAAATCGACTCTTGATGGGAATTAAGTGTGTGAAGAAGAACGAAAAGGGAAAGAAGCACGGCACGATTGTGTATGTGGGCAGTGACTGCTTCAAGTGGAAGCGACAGTGGTTCCATCTGAACCGATGGGGAGCATTGAATATTCGTCAGCTGCGCGCTGTGTCGGTGAATGAGGGTGTGTTGAAGGTGGAGGGAGCGGAGCGAGCTGTGGAGTTGATGGGATTGCAGCCCGCCGATTTGAACGATTTGCCGATGGCGCTGATGCGATGGAAGCAGGAATTACTGGATTACGATGCGAAGCAGCCCGAGGCGATTGATGATGAGGAAGAAGAAGAAAAGGAGGAGGAGAAGCCGAAGGAAGAAGAGAAGAAGCCTGAAGCGATTGATGATGAGAAAGGGGAGAAGCCAGTGGAAGAGCCCAAAGAAGAGCTTAAGGAAGAGAAACCCGAAGCGATTGATGACGAGAAAGAAGAAAAGCCGAAGGAAGAAAAACTGGAGGCGATTGATGAGGAAGAAAAGCCGAAGGAAGAGAAGCCTGAAGCGATTGATGACGAGAAAGGGGAGAAGCCAGTAGAGGCTCCCAAGGAAGAGCCGAAAGAAGAGGCGAAAGAAGAGCTGAAGGAAGAGCCCAAGGAGGAGAAACCCGAGGCGATTGATGACGAGAAAGAAGAAAAGCCAGTAGAGGCGCGTAAGGAAGAGCCGAAAGAAGAGCCGAAAGAAGAACTCAAGGAAGAACCTAAAGAAGAGAAGAAGCCTGAAGCGATTGATGATGAGAAAGAGAAGCCAGTAGAGGCACCCAAAGAAGAACTCAAGGAAGAGCCGAAAGAAGAGCCGAAAGAAGAGCTGAAGGAAGAGCCCAAAGAAGAACCTAAGGAAGAGCTGAAAGAAGAGCCGAAAGAAGAACCGAAAGAAGAACCGAAAGAAGAGCCGAAAGAAGAGCCGAAAGAAGAGCCGAAAGAAGAGCCGAAAGAAGAGCCGAAAGAAGAGCTGAAGGAAGAGCCCAAGGAAGAGCCGAAAGAAACTATAGCAGAAGAGAAGCCTGCTGAAGCAACGGGCAAAGAACACGAAGAAAAGCCTCTGGAGAAGGGTGTGCCTGAGAATCCGACCTCTGAATGAGCGTAATCTGTTTGTTTCGTGCTGACTGCTGTTTTTGCTTTCTGTTTGCTGTATATCAATGTTTGTTTGGATAATTCCAATGTAACAACAGCTCAAAATAGTATCTACTTTATTATTTGTCCCTTTCTTCGCTTAATACACAATATCCACAAAAATGAGCCAAACCAGCTACTCTACCATCCAACATAATCGCTCGATTGCTTTCGTCTCCCGAAACACATCTTTTCCACAAAAGTGGATTGAAACCTGGTTACTCTCATCATTGAATAGCCTCTCTGCAAATGTTCAGTATTGAACTCTCCTAATGCACACAATCTCATACAAATAAAGTGAATAGTCCAAACAGAGAACAAAAGTCTCCTTTTCCGCTTTTTCGCAGTAAACACTAGCACAATCCGATATATGTGCAAAAAATCCGATAAATGGAAAGAATCTGTGATGATTCACAAACCTCAACAATAGGGTAAACATTATGTGTATTCACAAAGAATGCTAATTCAAATTACGCCTTTACTTCTGGTTTATTCCAACACGCCATAAATTTCTTTTGCGTTCTACGGCAATCCTCCAGACGAGTATTGTACTTATCCATACAAGCAGTGAATGCACTCCACTCAACAGGGCATCTTTCCTTAATAACGGCAAAACTACACTAGAAAAAGCAGGAAGCCACATACGTATCCAATACACAATCCTGAACATCGTGAGCCTGCTCGAGACACTCTTTGGGGTGTTCACATTTCGATTTGCACTCCATAAAAGCAATGTTCTTCTCAGAGCATCTTTGCTCTATGATAGGAGCAGCGGCGAACAGGTCGGCTGCGGTGGGGATGTACTGGGGAACAGGGGTTTCAGGATTCATTTTTATTAGAGAAAGAAGTCAAATCGCGGTTATTCAACAAAAACGGAAAAGGTACAATAACAGGATACAAACAGATCTGTACTATCGGCGAGCAATTGTATGGTACATACAACTCATAAGGCGGGATTCCTTTGGGAAGATCGAATATAACAGGGAAGAAATAGAAACCTTATATTCTAAAGATTGCTCGATGAAGAAATGCTTACCTTTACTTACAATCTTGAGAATGATCCATCCGATAACAAAAAAGGTAACCAGATTGAGCCAGGTATTGATATTCTTTGGTCCGTTTTCTTGACTTCTTGCTCCCTTGACACTTTCCTTCCTATTGATACTATCATCTTCTGCGTTTTCTTCAGAATCAAAGAATCCTGGCTTTGGTTCTCCAGGATAACTATATGGAAGACGACTCAAAAGAACACAATGAAAATAGAAACAAAAAGCATAGTCCGGTGGAGATACCAGTTAAAAAAGGTAGTGAAACTGCCTGAATAATTTCATTCAATTCAGAGATTATCTGAGATAGAGCAAACAAGTGAACTAGTACCTCTCGTAGAACCTTGCTTATCATCCTTTTCTTGAACGAATCTAGGAGTCTTGATAACGAAAATATTCAATTCAAAAAGAAATCTCGTTTGAATTGCCAGAAATTGAGGGTGACAAAAATAGGCAAGAATTCTGGAAAAGGTGGAAGGGAGTAGTTTGACTATTCTCGTTGTTTATTATTTCTGCCGATGAGTTCAGGGGTACACATTATTGTTGTAGTGATCGAATTTGTAGATTATTCTGAGGGGAATACCCAGATTGGCGAAAGCAGCTTTGACAACAGCGAGATGTTATCCTGTTCGTCGTTTTCTATCTACGGATGTCGTTCAGAAAGGAGAGACAGTTGCTGCTGCTGCTACGAGCAATGTTGCTCAAAATAGCACTTCAGAGTCTGCGATAAAGAAGCAACCTCCTCGACAGAGAAGAAAGAATAATAAAAAGAAGGAAAAAGTGAATCTTAACCCGCCTGGTGAGCCGAAGCAGGAAATGGCTGCTGCCGTTGTAGCGAGTGAGGAAAAGAGAGAAGAAACAGCTCCAAAGAAGGGAGGAAAGAAGGATGCGAAGGGTTCGAAGGAGGCGTTGGAATTGAAGGGGAAGAAGAAGCAAAAGACGTTGACTCGTCTTGTGGATAATCACCCGTTGACAGAAGACGATCTGGACCCTCGTAAGTTCCTGCTTCACTTAACGCCAGATAAATTGGACGCTTATCCCCCGACTCCCGTGTTTAGTGAAAGAGTGGAAAACAAGCTTCCCACTGTTCACCGAGTGATCGGAAAGGATGCAAATGGGAACGAAGTAACGGTGGAAGAGCATCTTCCTCCCAAAGACGAGCAAGAGATGAACAAGGATGGGTTTTTCTATACGAATGATCGGATGTATGGATATACGAACCACACGCCCTTGTTTTACCACACAGATGTGACGAGACGAGAGTTGCAAGACCCAGACTTTAGCGATTCTTTGGAGATGAAAGCGGAATTGGAGCCGAATGAAATGGATGATTATTACTACTATGAAGGAGGAGAAGGAGGAGAAGGAGAAGGAAAGGATGAAATGGAAGAGATTGGCAAGAATGAAGAGATCCATGAAGACGAAATGGAATTGGACCCGAAAGCGCTGGGAAATCTGTCGGATGATCCCAATCAGGGCGACGAGTCTGCGGACGTGGACGGTCTGATCGCCATGAAGCAGATCGGCGATTGGATCGAAGGATCGGCTCTGCACGCAGGAAGCGACATCCAGTTGGATTTGGAGCTGGAAATGTTGGCTCGGTCCGTGGAAGATCGGCGTGTTCGTCGCCAGTATCTGCAGCTCGAGCGAGGCTACGATAATCGCGAGTTTGATAACGCTGCGCCGTGGGTGGACACGCATCGAATCGAAGCGATCGATTCGCGACTGCGCGAGCTGCATCGCATGCGCGACGCCGGGGAATTGGAGTACCCGATCGAGAAGGACGCTGCAGAAGAGGCGAGAAGAATCAAGAAGGAGCATCAACTCGTGCTTCGCTCGCTGAATCGCGCGTTGAATTCGTCGAAGAATTCGAAGGGCTCGGAATTGGCGAGCGATGAATATCTCTACTCGCCTTCTTCTTCTTCCAAACAGACAAAACATCGTCGCGAAGTAATCCCCAAAGCGGCGAAGCAGGTGGATTCCTCGCTCGACAGCATGGACGTGTATTCGATTCCGCTCGAAAAACTGTACCAAGCGAGGCGGCAAGAACTGGACAAGCTGCGCGAGACCGCCTACGAAGACTTCGATCTGGATTATCTCTTAGCCAAGAGCGGGAAGCCGTTCCCTTCCCGCGGGAACGCTGCTTCGTTGTACGAATATCGCCATGGATACACGGAATCCACGCGTCTGCCGTCAGCGCAGGAGCAGGCGGAGCAGATCGCTCATTTCGACCATGTGCCGTCGTCTCTGAGTCCGGCGGCGCGCGCCTCGCTGGGTCGCGACGTTCTTCTGTTTGACCGCTTGCGCCGACTGTCTTCGAAGGAAGCGGCGGGTCTGTACAGCGGGAAAGTCCGAATGATCTCTCCGGAGATGGAGGAAGCGGAGGAGAAGGAGGAGGAAGAGAGAGCGATGAGAGAGAAGATGGAAAACGCGGAGGAGGAGGACGAGGACGAGGAAGACGCTGCGTTGAGCAGCGCGCTGTTTGAGCAGAGCGAGCCGAAGGAGCTGGAGGAGAACTTCGATCGAACGGTGGAGTCGCTGACGAAGGAGGAGCGCGTGGATGCGGTGGACGCGAAATACACCGTGGATGCGGAGATGGACACGCTGCTTCGCGACCCCAAAAAGCCGCTCGAGGACTACGAAATGGCGCTCACAAAGGAGGGCGACGTGAAGTTCGCCTGGCGGACCAACCGTCAGGAAGTGGCGGACTTCGCGCGCGACAAGAAGCGATTTATGAGTCAGTTCGAGCATCTGATGAACCACACGGAGGTCAAGCCTGGCGAGGAAGCGAAGCTGAAGAACACGGTGATTACGTCGGAGGACATGGCCGCTGCGCGCCGCGCGGTGGGGCAGCCGAGCGATGTGAGCGACGAAGTGTTCGCGAAGCGCTACCTGGCAGGATGGAAGGCGCGAGCGGGCGATGCCGAGCTGGTGAGCAATCTGCTGAGCGGCTACTCGGTGGAACACCCGGAGAAAATGCTGCAGGACTTGGGGCTGGACTCGGAGGACGGCATCGAGCGCTATCTGATGGGGACCTTCGAGGCGCACGAGGCCCCCGAGGACCAGCTGCTCCCCGAGGAGCTGCTGCAGGCCAGGGAGGCGCGACAGCGCGCGGAGAAAGTCATCGAGCAGCTGCAGAAGCGCGCCGAGGAGGCCGAGAAGGCCAAGCAGGATCAAACCGAGAAGGCGGAGGGTGAAACGCCCAAGAGTGAGGGTGAAACGCCCAAAACCGAAGGTGAAACGCCCAAGGCGGAGGGTGAAACTGCCAAGGCGGAGGGTGAAACTGCCAAAACCGAAGGTGAAACTGCCAAAACCGAAGGTGAAACTGCCAAAACCGAGGGCGAAACGCCCAAGGATGAATCCGGGGAATCGGAGTCGAGTCCGTTCAAAACCACGTTCACCACGATGGATGAAACGCCTGTGTCTTCGGCTCCGGCGGATCTGAGCGACGCGTTCAGCCGTTTAATGGAGCGTTTCGATCAAGACGGCGAAGAGGCGGCGTCGGTTTTGCCGGAGGAGGAATCGGAAGTGATCGGAGAAGGACACATCGTGGACGCGTTGGAGTATTCCGACCAGGTCTACGTGCACGAAAAGGACCGGCAGATGATGTACGCGATGTACCAGCGCGGAGTGTCCCCGCGGGAGATCAGCCAGTCGTTCGGGTTCGACGAGCGGCGCGTGTACGCGATTCTGCGGTTGATGCAGGACCGTCCGCGGCATCAGAAGGAGGGAACGTTCGCGGCGGAGGGCGTGGATGCGATGGAGGAGAAGGAGTCGCCGTGGAACTACGACTATCGCGACTTCCCGCCGCAGAGCTATCGCTATGAGGATCGTCGGAAGGCGGGGAAAGTGCCGGCGCATCTGCCGAAATTCGTGTTTTTGAAGGAAGGAGAGGACGAGCGGAAGGTGATGAAGGAGGTGGAGGCGATCGTGAATCGGCAGAAACGAGAGAAGGAGCCGCGGATTCAGCGGAAGGGCATTCCGGTGGGAGAGAGTAGGGAGAGAAGGGAGAGAAGGGATGATGCGTAGAGAGGATGGCGGATGGATTGGCGCAGCACACGTACAAAATCGCGTTTATGGACATCTCGAAGGGGGCCAATCAGCGCGTGGTGATTAGCGATCTCGATGGAACGCTGCGAAAACCGACGGAGGAAGAGCTGGTGCACCGATCGTGGCGTCGTGGCGATTTGAAAAAGAACGATCGCTTGCTGCGAATGAAGCTTTAAGTTGAATTGCAATGTTTGGTGGTTGAATTGAATTGAATTGGATTGGATTGAATCAAGTTGAGTGGCGTTGAATTCATTTAGAAACCATTGTTTGAGAGCAACAAACACGCAATCAGCTAGAATAAACAAACGAAGGACCCGAGCGAGGCACCAGATACAGCTGCGTCCCCTTCGTCTGCACAGCCACAACCCCCATATACGCCGTTCGATACACGCCCGCCTTCTCGTCCGACATGATATGCAGCTCGTTCGCCAGTCGAATAAACGGCACGCTCCCCGAAAACCCACTATCCCTCACTCTTTCCTCCTCTCTCCCACTCGTAGAAAATCTTGTACGACTTCGTGCTGCTTCTCGGGATCGCCGCGATCGACGTCACCTCCGTCGCCTCGTTGATCGTTCGGATCCACATCGGATCGAAGTTCTGCTTGAGAAGGAACTGCAGATCCATTTTTGTGAATTCCACAAATTCCTCGTTTTTCTTTATCCCCTTCAAAAACTTGCTGTAGAACCTACAGCCCATCGCCTTTCACTCCGGACCCTACTGCGAGTTGCTCGTCCCCATCTCGCCGAAAGTGTAGGACCGCGACACTTCGGGTCGAATGCACCCGCGGTTTTTTCGCTGGTTGGGATGGCGCAGCCAGTCATCCCAGTACGCTCCCGGCCAGGTCGGTCCCAGTTCCTCCCAGAGCGTCCGCGTGAGCATCCAGCCGAGGCCTGGGAAGAAATCGCTGCGGAAAAGCCGAGCTACGATGAGAGAGAAAGGAGAAACTGACTGGGGTCGTGCACATGGGTGACTTGACCATTGTCGTTCCAGGCGCTGACGCAGTAGAGAGTCGGGTCGGCCCAGAGGATGGGACTGGTAGCGTCGAAGTACTCGAAGAAGTCGGGGGAGACCTCGAGATCGTCCTGGAAGTGAGGAAAGAAGGAATGGACCGGACTTCGAGGATGATGACCTGCTCGTACTGCTCGGTGAGGAACATCTGGTTCAGAAACCAACCGAAGTGGCGTGCAAGTTTGTGATATCCTGAATCTCCAGGCCTGTTTTCCTACCAGAGAAAGGGGGGAGAGCGAATTACCTGAGTGTGGTGAATGTGAGTGAAATTGAATTGAGGAAGAGAGGTTTGGATTTTCTTTTTCATCTTTTCCACCACCGGGTCCAGAATCGGAAGATAGCCATCTTGGCTCAGAACGATATCGACAAGAACATGGTTCTGGGGAGAGCTCAGTGTACTAATTAAAGAATTCATGGTGCGTTCCAAATAAGTGGGACGATTGTAGGCTACAATCACTAGAGCGGTCCGCTTATTCCCCGGATAATGATAATCGTTTATAGAGCGTTGCGAATTGACAACTGGTTTTACAGGAGGCGCTATGGTTTGTTGAGTGAAGAGTTGAGGAACTGCAACTCTTGGAACGTTCAAGATAGGAGGTAGAGTTGGTACGGCTTTCGGTTCAGGAGCAACAGTCTTGACGTCTGCGTCTTTTTGCTCAACTTCCACGACCGAGTCTATGTTTTGTGTCCAACTCGCACTGCTCTGTTTGTTATAATACTAGTGATCATTGATTACCTGAGTTATACCCACAAAGTAGAAAAAGGTTATCACTTGAGAAACTGCCACAATAGCGATGACTGCCAACAGTGCAATGATTTGTCTTGTTGTTTTTGCCATCGCAATCAAAAAAGATGGAACAATTTTTGTTTTTATGCGAGAAACCACTGGCATTGTGTTGGCTTATAAAGAATTATTACACTAGAGGAGGTTTCAATACCTGTCTGTACATGTCCACAGAATCAAAGAAGTTGGGAAGAGCCAGCAGATTACAGACAAACTGGCAGTATGCATATCTGTGCTGCCCTTACCCTGGATTGACTTGCTTCTAGAAAGATGGTATTTCATGAATGTATATTTACACTTTCACGTAATTATCAAGCTTCGTACCGCATTTAGATTCTTTGGAAATAGTGATTCAAGAGATTCAAAGGGCAGGTGAATGTACAGTGATTCATGATTATGAACTCCAAGATCATAACCAGTCCCTCAGCTCAAACTTTTTTTCAATTGATCTTTTTCCTCTAATGTCTGCTGTGAGAGTGTTGGTTTCTGGAGCTGCCGGTAACATCGGTTATGCGATCCTTCCTATGATTGTATGGATGGGAAATGTTTGTAATTTCTAGTGCAACGGAAACGTGTTTGGTTTTGACCAGGTATTTCTCTTGTGTTGCTTCTTAGCGCTAGCCCATTGATCTGGTTCTGCTTGATATTGAGCCGTGCATGGGAAAGTTGGAGGGAGTGAAGATGGAGATCGACGACTCTGCTTATCCTCTTGTTAAGAGTAGGATTTTCGCGCAAGGTTTTAATTGCAGGTGTGACGAAGAGCTGTGTGGCTATGGAGGCCTTCAAGGGAGTTCAGTACGCCTTCCTGATCGGAGGTTTCCCCAGACTGAAGGGAATGCTCCGCAAGGACCTGATTGCCAAGAACACTGCTATCTTCAGCGAGACTGGAAAGGCAATTGACGCTGTTGCTGACAAGAACATCAAGGTGCTGGTGGTCGCCAATCCCGCCAACACCAACGCCCGTGTGCTGATGGAGCACGCCCCCTCGATTCCTCGCGAGAACTTCTCCGCCATGACCCGCCTGGACGCCAACCGTGCCAAGTCTCTCCTGCGCGAGACCGCCTCCAAGAAGCTCGGCCGTGACATTCCTCTGACCGCGGTCAAGAACATCATCATCTGGGGTAACCACAGCGACACCCAGTTCCCCGACGTGAACTTCGCCACGGTGGAGGGCAAGCCTGCTCGCGAGGTCGTGGGCGACGACGCCTATCTGGACGGCGAGTTCCTCACCACGGTCCAGCTCCGTGGAAAGGCCGTCATCGCCGCTCGCGGACTGTCCAGCGCCTGCTCGGCGGCCAAGGCGGCGTGCGACCATATGCGGGATTGGGTCCAGGGCACCGCGGAGGGAGAGTACAGCATCATGTCGGTGTGCTCGGACGGAAAGCACTATGACGTGCCCGAGGGACTGATCTTCTCGTTCCCGGTGACGGTGAAGGACGGAAAGTGGTCGATTGTGGAGGGACTGGAGCTCGATGCTCGGAGCAAGGAGTTCTTTGCCAAGACGATCGGTAGGACTTTTGGATTGGGAGTGAGACGTAGCTGAGCTGCAGGAGGAGAAGGTGGCTGCTGATGAGTTCCTTGCTGGACAACAGTAAGTTTTTATGTAATGTGGCTTGTTTGTTGGATATGGAAAGGTGGGGGAGGACTGCTGCCCTAGAGCATGTCGCTCTGTATTTTCGTTGTTGGGATCGTCGAACACGATGGTTGCTCGGTTCCGTGAGCCCCCAACTTTGTAGGGAAGGAGGATTCCGGATTTCTGGACCCCCATCTGCAATTTTAACAAATCAGCTGCGCCAAAATCGAAAACCAGCGGAAAGTTTGGGTGGAAACAAGGGAAATGAAACTCCCATCACTCCTTGGTTACTCAAATTTCCCTATATTGTTTCGAAGTAATGTCCGTCGATCTGAGTATTCTTGCTAGAGGTATCCCTTTAGATCCTCTTCCTGAGCTGTTGTTTTGTTTTGTTAGCATTCATTTTTAGGAAGCCTTTAAATCCCAATGTGCCTCACGCTCCTAAGAGACCCGTGGTGCTCAACAAGGAAGAGTTCGTTAGAGCTGTACAGAATGCTCTTCGATACTTCCCTAAGAAATATCACGCTATTTTGGGTCCTGAGTTTGCTGAGGAGCTGAAGACGTATGGTCACATTTACATGTATCGGTAAGTCGTTCGTTTGTTCGTCGATCGTAGTTTCTACCCTACCGAGTACGAGATGAAGGCGTACCCCCTGAGCATGTATCCTGCCAAGTGCCAGCAAGCTGCTTGCATCCAGCTCATGATCATGAACAACCTTGATGCCCGCGTGGCTCAGTTCCCTCAGGAGCTGGTGACCTACGGAGGAAACGGTTCCGTGTTCTCCAACTGGGCGCAGTACCACCAGATCATGTACTATTTGAGCCACATGACGGAGGAGCAGACTCTGTCGATGTACTCGGGCCACCCGATGGGTCTGTTCCCCTCTCACCCGGACGCTCCGCGTATGGTGATCACGAACGGCATGGTGATTCCGAACTACAGCAGCCAGGCGGACTACGAGCGCATGTACGCGCAGGGCGTGACGATCTACGGCCAGATGACGGCGGGTTCGTACTGCTACATCGGTCCGCAGGGCATCGTGCACGGCACGACGATCACGGTGCTGAACGCGGGTCGTAAATACCTGGGCGTGAACGACATGCACGGCAAGGTCTACGTCACCTCGGGTCTGGGCGGCATGTCCGGCGCGCAGGGCAAGGCCTCGCTGATCGCCGGAGCGATCGGCGTGATCGCGGAGATCGACCCTGCGGCGCTGGAGAAGCGCTTCAAGCAGGGCTGGATCAGCGAGAAGGTCACGGACCTGGACACCTGCATCGCGCGCCTGAAGCGCGCGCGCGAGGAGAAGAAGCCGCTGGCGATCGGCTTCCTGGGCAACGTGGTGGACCTGTGGGAGCGCCTGGCGGAGGAAGAGGAGCTGCTGGTGGAGCTGGGCTCGGACCAGACCTCGCTGCACAACCCCTGGATGGGCGGCTACTACCCGGTGCAGCTCTCCTTCGAGGAGAGTCGTCGCATGATGCGCGAGGACCCCGTCAAGTTCAAGGAGCTGGTGCAGGAGTCGCTGCGTCGCCAGGTGGCCGCGATCAACAAGCTGACGGCGCGCGGCATGTACTTCTGGGACTACGGCAACAGCTTCCTCCTGGAGGCCTCGCGCGCGGGCGCCGACATCCTGGCCAAGCCCGGCGAGAAGACCTACGGCGTGGGCGGCTTCCGCTACCCGTCCTACGTGCAGGACATCATGGGCGACATCTTCTCTCTGGGCTTCGGACCGTTCCGCTGGGTGTGCACGAGCGGTCTGGAGAGCGATCTGGCGAAGACGGACGAGATCGCCACCAAGATCTTCAAGGACTACATCGCCTCGCAGCCGCCAGCCCCCGTGGCCTCGCAGCTGGAGGACAATCTGCGCTGGATCGAGCAGGCCGGCGAGAACAAGCTGGTGGTGGGCTCGCAGGCGCGTATTCTGTACGCGGACTGCTACGCGCGAACCACGATCGCCCGTGCGTTCAACGAGGCGGTGGCTCGCGGCGAGCTGACGGCGCCGGTGGTGATCTCGCGCGATCATCACGACGTCTCGGGAACCGACTCGCCGTTCCGCGAGACCTCGAACATCCAGGACGGATCGGCGTACTGCGCGGACATGGCCGTGCAGAACTGCATCGGAGACGCCCTGCGCGGAGCGACCTGGGTGGCGCTGCACAACGGAGGCGGCGTCGGCTGGGGAGAAGTCATCAACGGAGGCTTCGGAATGGTGCTGGACGGAAGAAAGACGACGCAGATCCGCCTGGAGAGAATGCTGTTCTGGGATGTGAACAATGGAGTCGCGCGCCGTGCGTGGGCTGGAAACGAGAATGCTCGCCTGGCTCTGGATATTGCTCGTGAAAACGAGTGCAGATATGAGTGGACGGATGCCCACTGGGCTTCGGAGGAAACCTTGAAGGACATTGAAAAGTTGTACTGCATTGTTTGTTGGAAATGCGAAGCGGAGCGAGGGGTGTTTCGAGTCGGATGGCTGGTTGTTCGAATCGGACGACTGGGTATTCGGATGGACGATTGGCTGCTCGAGTTGGGTGGAAAAGGACTCGGAATAAAAGCGAAACACAACGAATTGGGTCGTGGCTTCATTGGCATGATCACCTTTACAATCGCTCATTCGCTGCTCTTCATCTTAAGCCGTTCAGATACACGGCTCGCTATTCGAATAGTGATAATAATGGGTGTTTATTTGTGTTCCAAAAGTTATCGATATGCCCTTGGTCTAGAAACCATGTACTGCGCTTCTCATGAATATGGAAAGAGGAGCGTGACATCCAGAAACATTGTTCTAAAATCTGGAGTATTTTTGGCATTGTGACTTAACAGGTACTTGGCACTGCAAGTATTTTCAGCCACCCTAAATCGTCGTGTGCTTCCTTTTGTATTTACAAAGTAATACATCTTTTTGATAGATTTGTTTATTGGTTATTTTTGAACTAGGGTACGGGTGGTATTTGGAGTGTCTAATGACTAGAAATGCATAGTAAGGGAAAAAAGAATCCTTTATTCAGGGCTTCTGCACCGAGTACGCCGTTTTGGAGATGGTTTCTGATTCTAGAGTTTCAGACCTGTCAAAATGAAAGTGATTCCAGTGATAGTTTTTCGGATGGAGACGAGGAAGATCAGAAGGATTATCGTATGGGTGGCTATCATCCCGTCGAAGTACGTGTTTTTGGAGCTTTTTAATTTCTTAGATCGGAGAGGTTTACTATGACCGTTATAAAGTATTGTGTAAAATGGGTTGGGGTCAGTATTCCACTGTGTGGATGGCTCGCGATCTAATTACGGGAAAACTTTACGCTCTTAAGGTAGAATAGGTAGAGCGGCCTTATACGCAGATTCAGAAGAGTGCCAGTGCGTACATGGAGGCTGCTCAAGATGAGCTCCGTCTCTTCACCGAAGTGATGCGACGAGTCAACCAAGTGAAAGAGAGCAATCCAGACGCAGTCGTGAACGTGGTGGAGCTGCAAGACCATTTTCTCTTCACCGGCGTGAACGGAACGCACATGTGTTTTGTGTACGAAATGCTGGGCCCCAGCATGCTAGACCTGATCAAGCATTACAACTACCGAGGAATTCCTTCTTCCATCGTCCGTCCCTTGGTTCACGACGTAATCATAGCGATGTCCTCTCATCCCAGATGCTGACCGGTCTCGCCTTTTTGCACTCCTGCGGGATCATCCACACCGACCTCAAGCCGGAGAACGTGCTCCTGAAAGCCCCGCTGAGCGAGCCGCCCCCCGCGCAGACGACAATGTTCGAATTGACGCAGCAGAAAATCGAATCGGATCCCGAGGTGATCGAGCTGCGCACCAAGTGCGAGGATCCCTCCATCGACGCAGAGGAGCGGCGCAAGCTGCGCACACGGCTTCGGAAAGTGCGTCAGCACATTCGAAAGGGTAGAAACGTGGAACCAGGGGTCAGGGGTAGCGATGACGCAGCACAACATGCCGACTCTTTGGGGCTTTTTGCATTTTAACTATAAGGAAGCCGAGGATTTGGGGAAACTGGAGAAACCGGGGAAACCGGAGGGGGGTGAGAACGTCCAGCCAGCAGCAATGCAGCCAGAAGCAGCAGAGACAGCAGCGGAGCCGCCGTCGAAGTCGCCGGCGCTGACGCCTGCGGAGTGGCAGTATCCGGACGACTGCTTCTACATCAAGATGTACATTCTGGCGCCGTTGGCGAAGATGGTGGAGGCGTTCGGTCCGAAGCATCGCTACGGCGACGAGAAGCGTAGGAGCCGGTGCGGTGAATGAGAGAAAGGCGAGGAGTGCAGCGAATGGACGTTCGCGTTCGAGGGCTCGACGACGGACGAAGCGATTAACATCTTCCAGGTGCGTGGCCACGGAAGAGATCGACGCACGCGCCTGCACGATCTCCGCCACATCATCATGAACGATTTTGCGATCCGTGAGCGAGGCGCGCGGGGCTGACCGCTAGGCGATAAAGACGAACACTTATTGTGGAGTTTGCGCTTCGACGGCCGGCGCATCCGCACCGTTTTTTGTCCGTCTGGGAGGATTGGATCACGCGTAGCCATTCTGGAGAACTGGATCGAAGGCTTCCGCGTGCTCCATCTGCCCAAACCCAAGTTCGCTCTCTCCGCCTACGAGCACAACCTCCTCAGCAACGCCTCGCGCGAGTTCCTCCCTCCGGCGACGGCGATTTTCCGGAACGTGAACGGCGTGCTCGTCGGACTGTGCATTCCCCGCGGTAGGGGAAACGGAGGTGGGTGAGAGGCAGTGAAAGCGGGGCTGACGATTCTGCCGCTGGAGGAGCGGCTGTCGATGTGGCCGTCGGACGCGATGATGAGCAAGGCGCTGAGCAACGACCGCAGCATCCCTCCGTTCTTCGGGGAGAGTGGGAGGCAGCGCGGGATGGTGAGGACTAGACGATGTGATCGGGTGCAAGATCGTGGATCTGGGGAACTCGTGCTTCGAGAACAAGAAGTTCACGAACGATATTCAGACGCGGCAGTATCGCTGCCCCGAGACCATTCTCTACACGCCCTACTCGTTCTCCGCGGACATCTGGTCCGCCGCCTGCGTGATCTTCGAGCTGCTCACCGGGGACTTCCTCTTCCACCCCAAGGAGCACAGCAACCTCTCCAAGGATCTGGAGCAGCTGGGGCTGTTCGAGGAGCTGCTGGGCCCCATTCCGTCGAACTTCGCGCGGACGGGGAAGCGATGGAAGGATTTCTTCCGCGCGGATGTAGCGGAGAGAGGGCGGGGTGAGGCGTAGGGGAAGCTGAAGTACCAGAAGGCGTACGCGCCGCATAAGATCGCGTATCGTCTGAATAAGGCGGGCGTGTCGATGGATGAGTGCATTCTGATCGAGGATTTGCTGCTGCAGATGCTGCAGTATGAACCGATCAAGCGACTGAACGCGAAGGAGTGTCTTTCGCATGCCTGGTTCTCGTACCAAAACAGTAATTGAGTTTGGCGATGTGTTTGTGTGTAACAAACAAGGAAGAAATGAATGAACGAATGATATTTGAATAGTTTATATGAATGATTGAATGATTGAATGATTGGATGATTGGATGATCGAATGAATGATCGAATAATTGGTTGACCCAATTCGCTCTCCTTCTCTCTCTAGTCCCACACAGAGATCGTCCCGTCGAACGACCCTGCCAACAGCGTGTTCCGCGCGAAATGCTGCGCCACGCTGCACACAGGAAGTCGATGATGCTTCAGCGCGGCTTTTCGCTCCGCCTACTCTTCACTCGCTTCTTCTTCGCCCACTGTCACCAAGTCATAAACCACGATCTCTCCGTCCTCGCTCCCAGTGATCACATACGCGTCCGTGTTGTTGAAAATGCTCTCGATTTTATACTCCTCGGATCGATGCGACTTGTACCTACATGCCAATCAGCCATTACGCTTACTCGTTCAAAAGCTGCCCAGTCGTTCGCTCCAATACTACAACTGTGCTGGATGTCGTGCTGGCAACGTAGCACTGCCCGTCGCGAGAAACGGAGACAGAACTGATGGGGACTAGGAATGAGGTGATCTACGCTATGTACCATTTAGCTGCTCCTGGTTCATCATTCCTGCGCGAATATCGTAGGATCGGATGCTGCCGTCCACACTCCTATAACTCAAAGCGAGAACAAGAGAGAACCCCGAAATGATGCTTGTTTCGTCGAGAATGACAGAAACAATGCTGTCCTTCGCCTCTGGGAGAGTTTGAATGCACTGGCCACCACGGTCATGCGATCGAACATCCCACAACTTCACAGTGGTATCATAGCTTCCAGAAGCAAACACTGTTCCTTCCTTGTTGAAGCATACCGAATTGACTCTCTGGATGATCGAATAAACGATTAGGTACCTGTGAATGACCGAAATACCTCCGAATGACACGTGCATTCGTCACGTCCCAAAAGAAAATATCGCGCTCATCTCCACAAGACACAAAACCCTGATTGTCAGGAGATCTATGTTTCATGCGGTACAATAAGCATACATGGAGACATCGTTCACAGTATTACTATGAGGACCTTTATATCGTTTGATCAAAAAACCATCCTTCATATCATCTCTCTGAGGATTCCACAGACATAGCGAACGATCTTGACTGCAGGACATGCAGTAATTCCCATCCTCTACACGATCACTCTCCACACGAGGATTAACTCGTATATCGAACAGCAGTCACTCTGCTGCTATGCCCCTTCAACACTCGTGTAAGGCGTTTAGGAAGAACGTCCACTTGCTCCATTAATGAGAGAAAACAAGGGTTCCAACAAACAATCACAAAAGAAAACCAAGTAGACCAAGACTTAAATTATAAACAAATAACTTTCCTATCTGCCGCGGCGCCGAACGCCTCTACATCTGAAGAAAAAACAAAAAAACTACGAACTAGATCCCTCTTCCTCCTCCTCTGTAGCAAGAGATGTATTGAGGGCATCAACGAGATTCAACAAAATGTTTGATGTATTCGACATAATGATGGTCATCATTGCCACTTGCATTCGCTGGAACTACATTAAAAAGTGAAATCTAGGCTACTTCAGCTTTGTTCATCTTCGCAAAAGTAGCAAACTGATTCATTTTCTTATTGACGCACTTCAACTGGTTCATCTTGAGCACTGAACGCAGCTGCGACTCTGGCATTTGCCTTATCGACTGAGCGCTAAATCTAAGAAATGTTGAGGCAAAAGAAATGGTATACACTCTTTTTGGGGCAGCACGCATACTCTGCGCACAAAATCGCAGAGATTGCACAGACCGCATAGCAATACGAGAAGACATGCTTATTCAACGAGTCGAAGAAATGTGTGAGACTACCACGCTATTCCAAAATTCGGGATGAATTTTGCATTTTCAAAAGTTACAAATGAATAGTATTCTAGGCTTTGTTTCCAGATCAACATTCAAAAGAGCACGGAGAGGTCTCTTTGGTACTACAGAGAAACTCTTTGGGAATAATGTGAGTCACTCTGAGCGCAAGTGAGAATTGGGCGATTTTTTGGTAAGCGTTTAGAACACGAAGAGATTGGAATCCGAATGTTCGCCATGTTCACCTATATAGTGAAACATTAGACAGAAAGGTAGATTTATGAACACTATATCAAAAATAGATAGGTTTGAGAGTCACATCGAATACCCTGCGTTGTATTGACAAGGCAGGAGGGTTAGACTATTATGTGCTAAATACAAAGGATAAAGACCTGAATAGTGACGTTGCACTACGTTTAAGGGAGGAAATTCTAGCCAAGCAGAGAGAGTTGAATGGAAAGCTAATTTAGTCATTTACACTCACTGTTTTGCAATATACAGAGATTTTTTGATGTGCTTGGCTTGTATGATGGATATTATCCAACAGTAACAAGCACACTTGAAACTAGGAGAATAATGGGCAATGCAGACAATAGAAGTATTTGTTGAAAAAACGATAACTCTGGTAAATGAAGTTATTATCTAGCGTGTTTGAAGTCACACAAGAGGAGATTGTTAGATCCATAAGGGTTGTTACGAGATACAAATTGCTAATCGCGCATTAACGTATACTCTAGATATATAATGGAAAGACACACTAAATATTCTCACTAGATCGCTTACTATTAATAATAATAACGATACTACAGTACTCGTATTATTATTACTCATGGACACAGTGAAAAACACACTACTACCAATTGAACTGATATCTGCTGAGGTTCAGCAACACAGAAAAGAAAAAAGAGAAAGGCGCTGGGAACACAACGTGGTTGAGGAATTCCCTGTCGAGTCTATTATCGAAAACAATGGAAAAGCCGTTATATATGTTGGCATGCCACAACATATACAGAATATCATAACCAGCTTCGGGAATTCGAAAGGAGCGGATCATCAAAATTGATGTGTGAAAGAAAGTATTAATTGCTGCATAACAATTTGTGGATAGCATTGCAAATGTACCACGCATTCTATATGATAAATAAGGAAACCAGTACTTTATGGGTTATTTCGCTAATGAAATTGTGGACGGAAGAGGAAAGCGATGTGATGAACTCGGAAAGTTTGAAAGTGATGTGTTCTTCAAACAAGGCAAGCAGCGATATATTTTTCCATTGGCAAAAAGAAAGGATACTGGAATAATCTGGACAATGAAGGCAATGTAATTAGTATATGCAAGAAAGATGAACAAGGAAAAAAGCAAAGGGATTTGCTATATTTACACAAATGGGCGTATATAGAAGGTGGAAAAATGGAGTCATGGAGAGAAAAAATAGTCATTAAAAGGATTTATCGAAAAGATGACGGCATACATAAACGGTAGGAATAAATATCAAGGAGGATAAAGGGATTCTCTCGAATAATTGATGATATATTAACTTAGGGACATTATCTCCTTCTTATAATAAATGACAAAACACAATACTATATAATATATAGAAAAAACAGATTCAACACTATTTGAATCCATTTGGATTTATGCTTTACAATACTTACTAAGTAAATAAAAAAAGTGTATCTTGATAGTTTTCAATGGAGTTATCCATCATTTAAGAATGTTTGTACTCAGTTATAAAACTAATCACCGATTTCGATTGATTCCAAATTATACAACAATGAAACATCCCAATCAACCAATACACAATTGTCAATCAGTTTCAAATGTTTCATTCCGATATTCAGTGGTTTGCTTCCATCGCCTTCATATTTTTCATCAATATCACATTCAATTCCATTACACCATCCACATTCATTCACTAATTTACCATATCGATCATACACTTTTCCTCTTCCAAATCGATTATCATCACACCAATATCCTTCATATTCAATACATCCATTATTATGATAACTTGTTCCGTAGCCAAATCGTTTCCAATTGATCATTATACCCTTGTACAACAAGAATCCATCATCATCATACATTTCACCATACCCAAATGGAATTCCCAACTTGTTTTCTGTCAATATCAATCCTTCAAATCGACTTCCATGATCCAAATCCACGATTCCTTCTACTACTACTTCTATGGATTGTTCTTCATTATATGAAATATCACCAATTTGATGATTTCCAAACACTTTCAACACTTTCTGCTCATTGAGGACAAATCCTTGATTCATGAATACTCTATTATCGAATTGCAATACTACAAATTCTCTATTACTCAAAATGAGTGAAATCCAGCCGTTTAATTTCATTTCTTTACCTAAGCATCCCTGCACATTTTGGATAATGGAACTATCAATATGATAGTTACTAATAGTAGAATTGACAAAATCAGCAATGTTTTGCATGGAAATGAAAAAATATTAATATAACTAACTTGTATTTTTGAGCTATACACCCAATATCATCTTTATCCAGATATATTACCTTTTTGTAGTTATGTATTGACGTGTATTGTGCGTTATTTTTAGGTCGCCTTTTTCAGCCAAAGTGCCCTTCAAACCCCATCAACTGCATGCCGGCCGCTCGAAATCACCCCTCAGATCCTATCTTCCATCGCTCACCATCGCTCACCATCGCTCACCGTTGCTGACCCTGGATGACTCGTTTCATTTGCCCTTCATATATTATAAGGTGTAAAACGTAAATCTTAGCTTTTTTTGTTTACTCTCACTATCTATGGTAAAGAATGGCCATGCACTGCTCTATGCTCATCCCAGGTTCACCCAGTAACGGCACGTTCGAATGGATCAACCCTTACAAGTATCGGAATCCCTATATCACTTCCATTACTGTCCTATTCAGACCCAATCCAGTGATGCTCAACAATGTGAATTCTACGAATGTGGTCACGAACTCCAATGACGAGGAGCTAACGATTCCTCATGGATACTACACAATCGGTCAAATCATTGCCATCCTCAACATTATGATCGATACTACGTTCTCGATATCTATGATGGCTTCGAGTTATGGATGTATTTATATCCAGTCCAAACATACCATCGATTTCACCAATGCTCCGGAGATTCGAGAAATCCTCGGTTTGGAAGGGCGTACCATCATTCTCTCCGCTTCGTTCTATGGATGGAACGTGATTGATATCACGCGAAATCGCCAAGTGATCCAAGTCTGCTCGTCTCTCGTGCGTTCCTCCGATCTGAAGATTGCCAATCAAAACAACAATCTGCTCACCACAATGAATATTGACGATCCCGAGGTTAATTATACCTCCGTACCGTGAAAGACATCTGTATTCCGATGATAACCCGATTCGACCGATTGATGTTCCTATTCCGCGATATGGATGGTAATATCATGCGATTGAACGGCGAATTCGAACTCCAGTTGACGAAAGAAGATGTGTACGATCAAGTGCCTTCCTCAATTCTACCGATGAACCAGTTCAGTATGATCGAAGTGTTCGGCAATACTACGAAGAAGGAAGTGAATCTGGACAATCCTCTATCATTCGATCAATGCTTCATCTCGTCCGTGTCACTCTATACCGATTTCGTGTTGCACAACGTACCAACCGATCAAGAGATATTAATCGATGCGGGGACATACCCACACGAGGTGTTAATAACCAGAGGAACCACACGATATCACAAACGGCATGAGTGTGATCCGAGTGTACAGTAGTATCAATGCTTAAACATTCGGTCTGAAGAGTCCGCTGATCGATAACCTGATTCATGTATCGATGGGACTGAACAACATGATCACCTGGGACAACCTATCGATCGATGTGATTGAACAATCGAACTTGGATTCCATTGACTGGGTACTGACAGATGCGAATGACCGTCCGATCTCCTTGAATTCCAATGTGTACATCTCATTCACGATATCTTGTAAGCACAACATCAGTAAGGTATTCAAGAAGATAGATAGATAGATAGATATCAATGTCTATCTTCTATACATATATCTGAAAAGTAATAGTTTGATTGTTGCCTCCAACAAATAATCAACCAGATATGTCTCACAGCTTGATATTGGACAACTACTCATTCCCATAGAGTCCATTCTTATGGATTTCAGCTTTATCATCAACAATACTGATATCGCTATTAGTGAGTAATTCTATTCATCCTAATGAGTTGGGAACCAAAGCATTTCACTTTCATCAACCAACTCAAACAGCAAGTATTATGTATACTATTGTTATTCATGCTCGTAATAGAACAACATTGTGAATCACTTTGTATCCCTATTGAAGTGGTGTACAATTCGATACTTCTTCCTTTAAATAGGAGATATTCTGCATTATTTGGCAGGTGGGGGATACTATATGGGTTAGAATAAGGGATAGTATTCTCTGGCAATATAACAAACTCTGATAGGTTCAGAGTGCATCGAAACGACAAAAACTGGACACCAACTATCCAAAAACCTAGAAACAGTGGAATATGAATATATCTCTATTTGTTCGTATAAAATATATTATGTATTCTACCTTATTTTGCTCAGTTCTTCAACGACACACCCACCTTTCTCACAAACTCTACTATTCGATTCTACTATACACATATCACATATTATTTATATAAATGATAACCCAAAAACTGCTTATCGCTAGCTTTTCCATTTTCATTCCTATCATCATCTTCTACATACCCTATTTCTTTCTATCCCATCTAGATAAAATTCCAAATGAATAGAACGAAAAACAAAACGCTTCCACTGGAAACAACACTCTTCGATCTATTCATTCCACAATATCCCATTTCCGCTCATCTCCTTCCACTTCACAGTAAAAACAACTCCCTCCCTATTCGAAATCTATTCTTCCACTCATACCCAATTTCAACACTATTTTCACAATTGCACAATTCCTGTGTATTTTTGAAATCATTTGTTTTACAATAAAAGCTATTAGCTTCGTCTTACTGGGTTTGAATGTATTCAAAATTTGGAATTGGACTTGTATGTCCTGTCTTTTGTTTTGTTTTCGGACTTCTATGTGTTTTTGTGTGTTGTGTTGTGGGAGTGTAATTATTGTAGCTGGGATGGGTTCTGTCCTCAAGTTGGTGTGTTTGAAGAAGCTATTGTAGTCTTTACTATCGTTACTTTGACTAAACTGTGTGTGTGAGATATGCATCGTGAACGCATTCAATACCATAATGGCGGTGGACCCTGGTTCCATTTTTGCTGTGTGGAGTGTGTTCCGAGTGAGGAATTTCTGTACTTCAAACTGTGCAACGTGGCGAACCCATTCATGCCATGTGGGACCGCGGATACATGGAGATAACTTGCAACGTGGGAGGTATCTGGTACAGGCACGACGTTCTTGCCTAGGATATCTGTTCTGTTTCTCGTATTTTCATTTTCATATTGTGAGGTGGTAGAGTGTGGTAGAGAGAAG